GTGGGAATGGGGCAAGGAACATTATTCAGATGTAAGCATGGATACTGTGCATAAGGACAAAACTATTTATAAAATGTATATGATATTTATTTTATATATTTATTTATTTCAAAATAATTTTATTTTTAATGAGAGATGCTATGACCGGATTTTCATCAGGAAGAATAAGGTCCTACTGAAACAGGAAAAAAAAAGAGTTTTAAGAGCTTATTGGCAATAAAATTGTCTTTATATTGTAGATTTCTTGCTAGCCCTTTTTTTTTTGGCTCTCTTCAACAATTAAACCAGTATTTCCCCTTCAATATGGACATTGAGACCACCTCTAAAAGGGCTTTGGATGGTAAAGATCAATTACCTAAGCCCCAAACTGCTGTAGAAGGATGACATCAAATTCCAGGAGCCTGGGAAGTGCTGGTGCAGCTCTGGGCAGGAGTTGTGGGCAGCTGAAACCTCGGGATGTGACGCAGCCACTGTGGATTTACTGTCCTGTTCAAAACCAGGAGAAACATCCGGAGCATCTGCTGCATTTTGGATGGGCCTGCCAGTCCTGCAATAAAAGCACCACACCTGTCGTGAGACTCACCTGAAGCACCGTGGAAAACCGGTGAAGAAAAACCAGAAAGCAACAACAGCAATTTTAAACCCCCTCATTTTTAAGCAGTTCCCGTGGATGGGGATCATCCCCGCAGGCAGCACGTGTGTGACACTCTCCTCTGCAGAAGCTGCCTGGTCACACGGTCCCATCACCTTTGCTCTGCCTCCAGCCCGGTCAGCCCGACACGGGGCAGCCCCAGAGCCGCAGCCCCAGAGCCGCAGCCCCAGAGCCGCAGCCCCAGAGCCGCAGCCCCAGAGCCGCAGCCCCGCTCGGGTCGGGTCGGGGACACTCCCGGGGCGGCTCCGCCCGCGTCCCCCCCGCGGCAGCACAGGGTGACACCCGCGCCACACGTCTGCCCTCACTGCCTGCTTGGGATGGCACAGAACTGCGGGGAAAGCTTCCAGGAAGGATCCCCGTTTCTGTTTTGTCCCCTGTGATCAGCAGAGAGGGAGTCCAGCACAAGGAATGTGCAGTTGCAGAGTCACTTTGCAGCACGGATGGTATCAAACGGGGTTGTCTGGAACGTGCAAAAATCTGAACAAAACCAGCTGGGGTGGCTCTGGGTTGGCGTTTTCCTTATCACAACTGCTTTGTTCAGTGTTGTTTCTCAACCTCCTCCTCACAAAACAGTCAAGGTAAAATCTCAGCTCCTTCAGCTTCAGTGTGTGAATTCCCAGGACAATTTCACTGACCCAGGGGAGGATCCACACCAGCTTCTTCATGAGCTGCACCACTAAGGGCAGTGGCAGCTGGTGCCCAGCTCTGCTCCCAGCTGTCTCTTGCCCTCTCTGCCACCTCCTGTGTCCCTTCACTGTCCCAGCAGGTCCAGCAGCCACCAGACAATAGGCTGGGGATGGAAACGAGGAGATTATAGGAGCTTTACCTTCAATGATCCAGACATGAAGGAATTTAATCCCGTGTTTGAAATAAAAAGTGTTTATTTAGCTTCTTCCTCTGAGTCACTGCTGAAACATCTCACCCCCGGCCGCCACGCCGGGAGCACGGGCGCTCACGAGACGCGTCCTCAGGTGCACTTTTGACCTTTCCCTGCGTGAAGGGAAATCCCTCTGCCCCCCAGGATGATCCTGCCTCCCTCCAGCCCGGGCTTTCCATTGCACTTGAAGATAAATCCGGTGGTTAAGATCCTGCTCCTTTTCAAAATGAAGGTCAAAACCTGATCTCAGCAATGCCAAGTACCTTTTCCACCAACTCAAAGGGAAGATGATGTGGCCCATGGGCGCAAAATTGGACTCGTTCATCTGATACCTGACTCAAGGAGCTGCTGCAGCAGAGCCTCCAGACACAACAGAGGTGCCAGGGATGCTGTAAAATGCCTTTTTGGGTTCTGGGTTCAAAAAACTGATACTTGCAAAAAGCAAAATCCACAAAGAATTTACTGGAAACCCCTTGGTAAAGGTTGGTGTCACGTCCCGTGTGGGCGTTTATTAAAGGGGGAATTCGGCATCGTTAAATCCCACCCAGATGGTTCTTTCACAGGAATTTACTGGGTTTGGTCCTGGTCCAGCAAAATAAAGATGTGAGTGACCTGACAGACCTGGGATCTGAACGGCAGCAGCGCGAACAACCGCAGACTCCGGGGGCATTTTGAGTGGCGTGGGAGCAGCCAGTGGTGGGCAGGGGGTTCGTGTGGACACACTCCCCTCTCTGGCCCATCCCATCCCTGCAGAGGAACAGGCTGTTCTCCCATCCAGCCGTTATCCCACCTGGAGGTGCCGACTGTCCTTCGGCTCAGAGTGTCCCAGGGCTGGCAGATGGATCCTGCAGCAGAGCAGCACACGGAGCCTCGGCCGAGGGGCCTCTGCTCCCGCATTAGCAAAAGGAAATGTCAGTGTTTGTTTGGGATCTCTGTTTGTGTGGTTTCCATATGATTCCAGCTCACAACAGCCAGCTGGAAAACTTCTCCCAAAGAGAAGGCAAAGGCTAGTGCAGGTCCCCAGAAACCCCACGGTGCCCCCACCCCCAGTGCTGTTCTACACACAAAAGGCTGCAGGTCTGGAAACACCACAGCAAACAGGACAAAAGGCATCACTTGCAACCCTTCTCCTTCCACCCGAGAGGGGTGGGCATGTTGTACAGGAAACATTATCCTGGGACAGCTGTGCAGAGCAGGAGGAAGGCTGGTGCAAGGAGGTGGGGAAGTGCTGGAGTCTCGCTGTGGAAGGCACAGAAACAGGGGAACCTCCTGCCTGAGGCCAACGTGGAGCCAAGCACAGCAACAGTGCCCGTCTGCCCGGCTTTGGCACATGATCCCAGGCACAGGGATGGATTGAGGACACACACCCACAAGTGGCAACATACACATGTCCTCGGGCACATCCCAGGAGAGACCCCACTGCCCACAGGGAGCTCTCCTGGGTGGAATGTGTGGCTTGGGGCTCCTTTCTAAGGAGAGGAGGCCCCAAAGACCTACCTCCTGTGGAATGAGCAAGGGAGAGCCCAAAACTGCAGAGGGAATCCAGAAACATGGTGCTGGAAGGCAGGGAAGGCGCCCTTCTGGTGCTGTCCCACCCGGCTGTACGTCCAGAGATATGTGCCGCAGCTGAGATGTTCCTGAGAAGGCACTCGGGGATGGAGCATTCCTGAAGGAGAAGGGCTGAAATTCCTGTTGATGGTGAGAGAAAGACATCCACACCCTTTGGGACAGCACCGGTTATTTATTTTTTTCTTCCCCAAAGCAAGCAATGGCTTCAGAGCTGTTAAATTCTCACCATGGAAAACACCCCCGGTGTCACCTCGTAGCCGTGCTGGGTTTGAGCAGGAGCACTGCAAAGCCAAACCCACCGAGGAGTCTCAGGCTCCTCCCTCACTGTACCAGGAGGTGTTTGGCCTCACGATGCCTGTGACCAGGAGTGGCAGATCATCCACCTGCACTGCTGCTCACAGGCACCCGCCAGAACCCCCAAAATGGGCAACACTTTGTGCAACTGAATTACAGAAGTAGCTGCTGTCCCTGGATCAGGCTTTGAGCAGTGCCCCAGGTATCAGTTACTGTCTCACACTCCATCTCAGGTGGTTTTCGTGCACACCAATCATTAACACACAATCATTAACACAGGGCAGCAGTTGAGATCAGACCTCGGAAGTGGCCGAGTGCAGAAACTGAGGGGTGACTCCACCTCCCCCTGTGCCCACCTTCCCTGAGCCCTGTCCTTCTCCAGGGCAGCATCCCCATGTCAGGCCACAGCCCTTTCCCAGTACCCTCTTCCAATCACCCCCAAGCCACCTCCCCCCTGGGGAAAGCAGGAACAGGAGCTGTGAGTGGATGAATCCCAGCTTTTCCCCCTGTCTGCTGCACGGTGGCTGCAGGCACAGCAGTGACACGGGGTCATACAGGATGAGTCGCCCATCCCACCTGCACATGGAGCAGGAGCTTCTCCAGACCCTCCACAGCAGCACAGCTCTTCCCAGGACAGGTTTGGATTGAATCCTGCTGGTGCCACATCTGCAGAGTAGGTTCTGTAGCACAGAGGGCACACAGGGGGTTATTCACCACCTCAGCAAGTGATTACCTGGCTGGTGCTGCAACACCACCGTTCTTCCACACCCCTCAGCTGGGAATGTTCAGGACATTTGGCTTTCCATAAAGATTGAAAATTTATCCAACTTCAAAACTATTTTTTGCTTGAACTGATGAATTAAGTTTTATTTTCTCTGTGCAGTGGTTCTGCTTTCAAGGTAAAAACAAAACCCACTCAGGGTGGGCACTAAGCACGTGACACATCAACACGGGAGCAACTCAGCATCTGCTCTGCACAGGGGACTCACCCCAGGCCAGGGACAGGCACCATCCCACTGCCCTCTGGCAGTGTGGAGCCAGGCTGGAAGGCACAGGGATCTTTAAGAACAGACTGCCCCCAGTGCAGTGCCCACAGTGCCCCTCAGAGCACAACCTGATGATCTTCCACGGCCCTTCCTCAGCTTCCTCCCACAGCAGCTGCACCCCAAGCAGCACTGTCAGGAGCCACAGAAAACCCTCCAGCACAGGGAACAAGGGTAGGGCAGATTTAAAACACAATCATCACACAGTTTTTTTGTGTAGGAAAGAGGGTTTTTTCCTAACAGGTGGGATTTAATAACTAAGGCAGGGAGAAGTACAATTATGAGGCTAAAATATGGCAGTAGGTTGTTCTGATTTGACTAAGTAGAACTTCACCTCACTTCACCATCTCACTGCTGGGTGATAACTCTCTTCTTCACAGACTGGCAGAAGCTCCTGTTAATTAATCTAATTTGAAAATCTGTACCACAACTATTTTCCTAAATGAAATCAATGGCTACCTCTGTTGCTGTAGAGTTTAAACTCACAGCACAGTTGTCCAAAGACACATCCTCAGGCTGAATCCCTCGCAGTTAACGCTGGGTTGGGAATGTAGAACAAGGCACATTCGTGTATTTTGGTCACTTTATTAAATGAGATATTAAATAGTTTAAGTTTCAACTACTAAAACAGCACTTTGAATGGTGAAAACACAGATAGTATATTGTCATACTTGAATGCTTCTTCTCTTTAAAAACACATTTCCAGTCCTTATATATATTACAAAACAGCCTTATAGGAAGAGGGGACACCTTGTCTATAGTACTTAAGATATTTAATACAGAACTGAAAAGCCATCTAATAGAAACAAAGGCAAGTCTTCACAGCTGTATGATTTCAGCAGCCAAAGCTGGTTGATGGACTGAAACATTACTATACAACTGGGACAAAACATATACAATATCACGATACTAAGCAAAAACGCTTTACATCCAAAGGAATAAACAGGTTACAAAATGTGGATAATTTAGCAGGCAAAACTGTATTACAAGCAACATTTTTATTCATCATCTTAAGCCATTTTATCTAGTTAAAACATCTAAAACAAATATAAAAATGAGCCTTTTATTATCTTACTGATGTATGTTCTGTCTTTAAGTACTGGTTAAAGCCTGATGTTATACTCAAAGCACATTGTTATGCAGCTAAAATGTCGAGTGAGAAACACGTACGCAAAGTGGTCCAGGTTTAATTCCAATGCTTATCTCAGATTCCTTCTTATGCATTAGTCTTCTGTTATCCATGGGTTTGTCCAGAATGAAATAAAATGTGCCTTTCAATGTTGCCTAAAACTTCCACATTTAAGTCTTTGAGTTACTGTAAAACTCCATTCAACAGTCCCAGGTTTGGTAGAAAGTACTTCTCTTATTCACGTAGGAAAATCGGTGAGAGTTGCCCAGAGTTCATTTGCCTTCAAATGTTTGTCTCAAAGTCTCACAGTTTGTTTCTTCTAGTGCAGACACGTCTCTTTTTCCTCCCTCCCCCCAAATCAGAGTTAATTGTAGACCTGGCAAAGCACTAGAACACACTGAGGGGTTTTTGTATTATCTTGTAATCAAAGAGTCCAAGACAGCAACTTGTCAGCTGGGTTTGCACCAGACCAACCAACCTCTGTCCACCTCACACACCAAGTGTCAACCACAAACAGAAACATGGGGTAAGATCTGCATACTGAGATGCAAAACCCACTTGTCCATTCAGGGCAAGAACTCAAACTCCTGCAAGAAACTTTCCAGAAACCAAAACAAGTTTAGTTCACGGCAGTAAGTCAGAAGAGTCCAGCACTACCTGGAGCCAACGTCTCCAGAGTCCTCTGTCATCCACACACCATCGCTCCAACGTTCCTGCCACTGACTTCTACCCCCAGATTATAAACTTTTGTTTTGGGGGGGTTAAGAATCAACCAAACTCTAGTCAAAGAAAAGCTCTATTTGTATTTAATGAGATCTTCACAAGCACAACAAGTGGGGGTAAAGAGAGTGTTAATGATATAGAAGAAACCAGAAATTTACCTCTGGCCTACATTAAACTCCCCCCCACGAAAGAGAACAAAAAAACCCAAGCTCCTTGTGTCCAAACTCGTGTTTTCACACAATGAAGGGGTGGGGAGGAGTGCATAACCAAAACTCTGCTAATAAAATCATTTCACGGTTCTGGCAGCTCTGGAAGTTGCTACAGCACTTTCTCTATTGATTTCCAGTGGGCAATGGTTGTGCCACATGAAAGGTGTTTCTCTGACAGGGTTTGACCCTGGTCACCATCACTATTTGAACCCCCCAACACCAGGAATCGAAGGTTGTTGGCCCGTCTCCCATTGCCGGCAATGGGGAGAGACAGCAGCACCAGCACCAAGGAGTTACCAGAAATGTGCTTTGTGTGGGACTCTGCATCAAGGACATTAGTGTGTGAAGGAAAAACATCTCCCACTCTGAGATCATCAGCTGCTATTCCATCACATGGAACTGAAAATAAGAAATGGCAGAAGACCAGGGAAGGCCAGCCCTTCCCCAGCCGTGGTTAAGGCTGGATGCACAGTGTCTCTGTGACTCAGAAGGTTCAGAGCAGTAGTATTTACGAATATTGCACTCAATTCTGTTTCAGAGAGTATTTTCAGTTCCTGTTTCATTCAGCACAGATGATCCACACAAGTTCAGACCTCGGTCAGAAGGAAACTGGACTATTTCTGTTATAACGTTCCCACTAATAGAAAGAAAGGGGTAAGCAGAAAAGTATTCCATAATTTGAGGAATCAACTCTAATCAAGAACTCAGCTGTTTACAATTCACATATGTCAGACTGAACATACAGACCTGCAGTCCTTCCTAAGCTTCCCAAAGCTCTGCAGCCATGAAAAGCAATCGTAGGAGTTTAGACAGGAAACCTGTGGAGATGCTACTGTAACGGGAGGACTTGTTTTCACTGAAAACAACTTGTTATCTCCTGTACTCAACATATGTAAGAAGATTCTAGGCAACATCACTGACAACAGGGAAAACATCATGTCCAATTTAAACAAAGCTGAAACACTAATATGGAACATGGCATTTAAGGGGAGCAACCAAACAATTCTTTTTAATTTTATTTTTTTTTACAGTTGAGTTCTGTTAGGCCATTGATTCCTAAAAAAATAAAAGTTCTTTCTCTGATTTTAACAATCCTTTAGGCTTTTAGTGCAAAATCACATTGATTTCCCTTGGGAAGGCCCTGGATTTTTGCCTCTCATTGGGGGTGGTGCTCGTTGTAAGGGTGGTGGCTGCATCCCACCAGACATTGACTGATACATTCCTCTCACATCTATCCCTTGGTAGCTGGAAGGATTCATGATTAAATTTGGAGGCTTTGGCATCATGAGGTGGCCCATGGCTGCTTGCTGGTAAGACATCTGCTGCTGCTGCTGCTGGTTGTACTGGTGCTGGAGCCGCCTGTTCATCAGGATCCTCTGGACACAACCGATTAACTGCGGAGGGAAAGCAGAGCTGGGTGAGTGCACGGCCCTCTCAGTGCTCCAAGTATCAGGTTCAGAGTTAAAAATCAATTTGTTAGGGACAGCACGGCTGGGGGAAAAAGCCCCATTGTTATCACCATCCCTAATGTGATGGCATTCACAAGCCCATTACTGGAGAAACCATTTAGTAACACCATTTAGGGCTCAGTTCTCCCATGACTTGGCTATTGTATTGCAGGCAGCATTTAGGTGAGTTGCCATGGCAACATGCACTACACTGTGAAATTATTCCCAGGTATAAGTTACAACATCATTTGTCAGGTACCATTTATCTTCCCTTTGAAAGTCCCACATGTGGACTGTCAGTGTTTGCCTGAGAGAAAACTCTTCCCACTGACATCATCTGGGCCACTTTCAGATTTTGCAAAGAAATTTTAAGCTAAAACAACATTACCAACACTTTCTAAGATGTATTTTGTAAGTGGCTGTCTGAGCTCTGGGAATCAGATTTCTCTTTAAACTTCGTGACCTTCCAGCAAACCAACTTCAACTCAAAAACCTGGCGAGTATTTTTTTTAAATGGACACGGAGTCTCCCTCGCTGAGGCAGAGCAATGCAGCCCAGCACACCCCTGACCCACTGCAACATGTGCTGTGAGGGATGTTTCTGTACCCAAACACACACTGGCACTTGGTGAATGAGCACACACAATGTCCCAGGTCAAATGTGGACAGTGGACACACAAATATAACACATTTTACCATCTGCTGTTTCCCAAGGACGTCGTTGTAAATGGCTTCTCGGCGCTTGACATCCAGCTCCTGGCTCGCCTGCCTGTTCAGTGCCAGGGCCTGCACTTGGCTCTCTGTGAGGGTTACGTTTTCTTTCCACTGAAAGGCAAAAAAAACCTTCCTGGCACTGGTCGTTTGAACAAAAGCCTGATGGTGACTGAAGCCTTGCATCATGTTCAGAGTTGCACCAAGAGTCAAACAAGCCCAACTTCCAGTCAATGCAAAATTGTACTTCACCAGGATCAGAACTATGAGTTATTAGTTCTAACTGCTAATTACTGGGAGCAAGTGAGAAATGTGGCAGTCCCCAAGATAAAATAAATACTTGCCCATAATTGTTATTTATAGAAAAACAGTGTTCTCAGAATGGATCTAAACTGTTAGTCCTCTAAGGCTCTCTGTCACCCAAACACCACTTTATCCCTGCAAGCTGCAGGGATAAAGGCCAATACAAACTGGAAATAATATTCATTAATAATGCAATTAATTAGCTGAATGACCACACGCAGTAGCAACATCTTTGTCTGATAACATTTAACATTTTCCACTCCTGATCTAAAGCCAGGATTATCTATTCCACTCACTATGGTTGAAATGATGTCTTCAAGGGGCTGAATTCTTGCTGCAGCTACACTGTTGGTTGCTTCCACAACCTTCTCTCTTCCTTGATTAATAAGGTCCTGAGAAAACACCAGAAATTCAACTGTAAAGCACAGATACAAATAACACATTTCTCTGCCAACATTTTACAAGTTCTTCATCTTTGTCCTTACATACCTAGACTTCAATTACTTTTTTCTTTCAATTTGCACAAGTCAATGAGTCTAAGCCTCCACAGGACTGACCTCCAGCACAGAGCAGCTGCACAGCAAGGATAAATCGAGCAGTTTGTAGACAGGATTCATAAAACTCTCTTTTTGTACCCCCATGTTTTCAGAGCAGCACAGGAGTGCCACACTGTTCCCCAGGGGAATTGCCTATGGTACAGACTTGAGGATGTTACAGTTTCAAATGTGTTAATTACTGTCTGCAAAGAACGCAGGGGATCTTCCACAATCCTGCCATAGTCCCCAGGTCTATATGCAAGTTAGACTTCACAAAAAAATTAAAAATTGGATACAATTACATAAAGGTGGAGATATTATCCCTAATTTGTGACAGAAAACCCCTGCATGCCCACAGCAACACAGACACGTTGTGCTACTTACCTCCAGCTGTTGGTTACTCATGGCTGACAGAGCCCCCAAATTGTAGGGAATATATGTCTGAGAGTTGAAATTCGTGGGAATCATATTGGTCCCAGTTGGCATGTTGAAACGCATAGTGATGCCCTTGAAAACATGGAATGCACTTACAATTTAACAACTCTGCTAATTCATGGCCTTCTGCAACAACCACACAGAGACAAAGCAGTGCCGGCTGCTGGAACACACCCAAAACAATGGACACAGAACCCCAACCCAACACACCATGGCCTGGAAAGAGGGGTGAGAGATGGAGAACATCACTGGGGGGACCCCAACCACAACACGAATTCCAGATCTAATGTTGTACCCTACTGTAATTTTGCTGCTTTCTGTCGTATTATGCTCACTGTTAAATATTGTTCTAGATGTTATTAGAGTGTGGATACTACACAGACCTCCTTGCAGGGACACCCTCAAATGGTAAAAGAGCTATTACACAGGACACCAGTTGAGTTTTATTATAAAATAGAAAAAATATATGTGTGCAAATGTTAATTTCATTTAAAAGTTATTGAGAAAACACACAGAAAGGACCAGCATCAAAAGAGCAAAAAAGACATGTTATCTGCTTTTTTTGTATGTCAAAGTTTGCTTTTTATATTCATTTTTTGGTCTTTGAGAAAATTTTATTCCCCCAAGACAACTGAAAAGGTAACTGATACTCTAAGCCTGGACAGGTTATTTTCAGAGACATAAACCTGATTAGACAGCTTTACCTTCTTCTCTGCTTCATATTCTGCCCAGGCTGCCTTCCTTTCTTCTTCAGTGAGTTCCTCCTCCTCCTTATGGTCCAGGAGTGAATCATGTTCATGATATCCAACTATATACTCTTTGTTGATCTGAAGCAACTCTGCCAGGATTGTGTCCTGTTCACAGGAGGAGATAAAATGAAGAGTCACTCAGCAGCTCTGCTGTATTTACTCCCTGTCACACACAGCAGCTCAGAGCGCTGCACAGCACAACAAAACTCAAAAATCATTTAAAAGTACAATTTTCCTCAGAGGACAGGGAATGGATTAACAATCTGTTGCAAAGATGACAATCCAATCACTTCATGAACCACAGGAATGCACTCAGATTCCACAACACTAAATGCACTTTAAGAACCCAAAAAGAATGGAACGTGCTCAATGATCTTTCCTTCGCTTGGGCTGGACACCTAAGAGAACAATCAATAATCTGCATTTATTATACATAAAGAGCATCTATGTAGGCTTTAAAACACTGAGCAGTACTTTGGGTCTATCAACTGTCTATCAGCATTCAAAAGAAAAGGTTGCTCTCTTAAAACTGTTCAGATACATGTTGACATAAATAGTTCCCCACCCTTCTGGACTAAGAAAGGTCAAAGCACTGCTGTGAACCAGATTAGATCAGCAGGTTGCACTTTAGACCTTCATATTCCACAATATCCCTAATGCTTAATTGTTTTTATATATAAAATATATAAATCACATAATGGTTTGGGTTGGAAGGGACCTTAAAGACCATGTAATTCCAACCCCCTGTCATGGGCAGGGACACCTTCCACTAGACCAGGTTCTGTATGTGTGTATACACACACACACATACACACACACATATATATATATATGAAATCTCCAGTATAGCTTAGCATTCAGTCTAAGATTTCTAATACTACAAATTATATAAGTCCTATTAATGTTTTTTTGAAATGCAGAGTTACCAGCATGTTGAATATTTCCTAGATAAAGCAAAACCAAACTGGCTGCCAACCAAAATATTAAGCTGCCACTGCCCTTGTCTGGACTGCAGATGCCACATTATGACAGATGAACACCTCAGTTAAGAAGTGATATAAAATCAGACATGGAAAGTAAGTGTGGAAATCTGGCATTTCAAGGCAGGCAGTAATGGGTTTGCAATCCTCATTCTCACTGAGGCAACATCTCCAGTTTTTCACAGATGATGACTCCTTGTCTGAATAAAGGTAACGCTGCAAAGGATGAAGAAAAACATGCTCTGCAGGACTATGAAAAACTGCTCCTGCTGCACCACAGGAGTTCCCTTTTGGAAATCATTATTCAACATGGGTTTTTTACATGCACTTGTATCACTGATGAGCTTGATGAGCTCCAATATGCCTCAGCATTCAGTCTAAAATTCCTTATATAAAAACGTCATTGAACTTCTGGACCACTCCTGAAAGGCATCACAGTGAGCACACTTTGTGCAGTAGTCATATGGGTACCTACAGTCCCCCTCCACACCACGACCTCATTCTGCCAGCCCTTTGAACAAGCAGGAAACCAACCAATCCTACCCTGACACTTTAAAATCTCCATGGAACAATGACTGGAAAGAATGGCCTGTGCCCACAAACAAACTGATTTTTGCAACCACTCTGGGAACCGTGTGTGGAAGTCCTGACCAGAGGTTCTGTCACAGCAGCTGCAGAAAGTTGTTTGTCTCTGTGTGTTTTAAAACTTAGTTCTGTGTTAACCAATTATGTAAAAGCTGGTCCTTGTTTCATCCTTGAACTATTTGGTCTCCCTGAATTTGAATCATTGTTTTCATTGCCAGCTCCTCAACAAAACATTCCACGTGGTACCTGCACAACCAATGGGCACAAGGAACAAAGGATGGGATTTTGGGGTGCTGAGAGAGAAGGCAGAGAGAGACAAGGGATGCCATAATGGGACTGATGAAAATGCCCCAGGGCAGTGGGGGAAGAAGCCAAGACATCCCCAGAGGAGTGGACACAGTTCCCGTGCTCCCAACGGAGCTGAATCCGAGTGTGGAGGCTCCTGGACGTGCATTAACTGCCATGGGAACACACCACACTGCAATATAATCCACCCCCACTTGGCCAGCACAGGCTTCAAAATGTGCTTTAAATTACATCCAACTGTGTGTTTGCTTTTCTTTGTCTAAACTTTATTTTGCATTAACTTTAATGATGGAGCTTGAAAACTGGGATATGGACTAAACTACCTTTTGGGTTAATTTTACTATGAAAAAAATAATAAATCCACCTTACATATGAAAAATCATCAGAATAATTATTTCTTTTAATTTGTTTAGCTTGTTGATAATGATTATCAGTTGGTTTAAAAGCTTTAGGATGAAGGAAAAAATGAAGAGAGACTTTAAAAAGTTTTTGAATTTAAAAAAAAAAAGGGTTATCTTTTATAAATCCTGATAGAAACTAAATGCTATGGAGAGAGTAATGTATTAGAAAAGAAATCTTCCACGAAGGAATGTGAGTTATGTTGTAATTCATAAAAATGTTTTTCTCAACCAATTGAACATTTAATACTGAAGTTAAAAATAAAAAAATAAGCAGCAAGTTCTTCCGATTCTGAGATCAAAATTCATTGAAGTTGTCCCCTCATATGGAACTACAGTCAAACACATGCTCTGGCTATGTCCTGAGGTAGTATAAAATAATGATATGCTATATCCAACTGAATCCCAACCATGATTTTAATCTGCTTTTCCAATCTGTATTACATGACCTCAACTGAGCCAAGTTTTCATTTCACATAAATATAAATGTGAGTGACTCTAATCCACTGAAGAGGCTCATGTGGGGAAGAATAAGCCCAGGGCAGAGGGTGCAACAGTTCCAGCTCCCAAGGACACAGAGGGCCCCCCAGTATTGTCTCTGTCCACCTCCACCTCATCTCCACTGCTCTGAAACACGCGTCCCACTGGCCCAGGTAAATCCCAGGATCACACCCTGATCCCTGGGGATTTGTGTCAGCCCCATCCAGCCCAGCACACAAAGCCCCCAGAGCAGAGTGTTCGAGTCTGGGAGAACCTACTTGACAAAAACCCCAAGCCAGCAGCTCAGTCATAAATCTCACTGATTTAAGAAAAGGCTCTGGATCCACTGCTAAATTCACAGCAAAGCAAAACGTGGCTCAACCATAATACACTCAACAGAATTTTCTCACTTTACCCCATCCTCTCCTTTTGAATTGCTGCTACTCTACAACAATAACAACAAAAGTTGCTTTTTCAAGCTGCCTTTTCTGTGGGTTAGATAAGGAGTCACTACACTATAAAGCTCATGGCCTATACTTAATTATTTCTGTAAATTATACTGTAATTATTTCTATACCTAAATACAGCATATTTGACCAAGTGACTACTCGGTCTTGAGATACCTAGTACACCTTTTTTGGACTGAAATTCCAAATCAGTCCTTTCCAGCTGTGCAGAGACAGAGGATGAATGAAATCAAGCAGTGGAGGTTAAGACTAACTTAATAATTCATGTGAACAACATTCATAATACAAATATTCTGTTAACCCCAAGTATTTGTATATTTGAAGACACAGGAGCTGTTACAGAGGGGCAGGGGCAGAGCAATGGCCCTCTGGAGTTGGGGTTGGAGGACAACAGGCATTTTTCCCCCGAGCTCCTCATTCCCCTGGAGGTCTTGTCCAGACCACAAAAGGCAGAAAGTTGCTGCTACAATTAAAACTTCACCTGAAACTTGGATAGACTTCAACATATTGCACATTTGTCATGTGATTCCTTATATAAAATTGAAGCATTCAACATCTTCCCTCCTTAACAACACTTTGGAAGAAAACTGGTCTTGGGCTGAAATTTGGATTATTGCAAAGGCAAAATTCTCAAGTATATATTTTAAAATCAAGCAGTATTTGCTTTTTCATTCGCTGGCTTTTTACTTCTGACTTTTAAAATGATACAGAATGAATTCTCTTAACCCATTAAAAGCAAAAGAATTAAAAATCTGGTTTTTCTTACATCAAAGAAGTTGAAAAGTGTGTTAAAACTAGGAGTGACAAGAAAATTCCCAGCACTCAGCTCTGAATAACTCCTCGACACACACGAACCCTGGCTAAAGGATTTGTAAAGAACCTTCCTACTGTGGGGTACCACTGGTGTTAAGAAGGTCTCAGAGAAGAAAACCTATTGTCCCTCCAGCTTTTTCCACATTCTTGCATAGATGGTTGGAGAAAAGATGGAAAACATTTCCCCTAACTCCTATTCCAAATTCCCTCTAGAAAACATGGAACAAAGCTCTTTGTACCCATGTTCTGAGGAATCTGCTCTCTCAGTGCCTGGCTGTGTCTCCCCCTGCACACTAAAAACAGGGAAAAGCACTGCAAGTGTCCTTTTTGCTGCCTGCCTGCCCAGCAGCAGCTCCACAGCCAGAGCACTGCCCAGCACACCGGGCTTTGGAGAGGCAAAAAAGGCCCAGAGACAAAAGGAGACAATTACAGACAAAACCTGTCAGGGGCAGAACTAAAGCTCCTTTTAGCCTAAATAGCTATTTTGCTCTGCTGGTAATTAAAGAGGAACAGCTCAGGCTTTGTGACAGCTCAGTGATGGAACAGCAACACAGGTGAAGCTCCAGTGGCCTTTGTTTGCAGGGAAGAGCTGCAGGGATGGGCTTGGGTGCTGAGCCCACCATGACAAAGCACCAGAGCATCATGCAACATGATCCTAAAGAGAATTTTTGTCTCTAAATGCTGTGTGATTACTTGATGTTACAACAAAATGTTTTCATTTCAATAGACTTAAATCAACTTTAAAAAAATGCTCAGTTGTTAAATTAATTAGTCAAGATTTGTAATTATTAATCATGCATATTTGCTAAAATCACAATGAAATGAAGAATACTTAACTGAGTGAATAACCTTGCACAGCTTAGAGAATAACACCCACTGCAATATTTCCTACTGCTGATGTTTCTTTTCATTGTTTACTTGGGGTTTTAGAGAACTGGCTCAACCAAAAAAGACAGAATAGGAAATAAAACAAAACTGAACTATGATGTTACAACTAAGGCCTGAGCCACAATTCAATTAAACAGGTTGCAGGAATCAAGGAAGGAGTCACTGCAACTACTGGACCAGTTGTTCTGTGAGCAAAGCAAGAACCTCACTGTGGATAAATTGAAAATACAAGACCCCAGTGAGCTGAGCTTCACAGGGAAGACAGATGCTGCCAAAAATGAGCCAACCAGCTCAGTCCATACACTGGGAATTCCCTCCTTCCCACCAGCAGCTTCTGGAGGACCTGAGGGAACCCAGCATGGCTCTTCCTTGCTGCCAAGACTGGTCTGGGGGACAGAGAAAGGGAAGGAATATTTGGGGATTAACAGGTAGCTTCCCATATTCTCTGAGGCTATTTGGAACACAAAGTCCTTTTTTCTAGAAATAAATACAGAAATGGCTAAAATAAGATGAATGTACTTGATGATTTATAGCCTTTTCAACCAATAAATAAAAAGGGATTAGAAATCTGCACACAGCATGTACTCAGATGCACATCTTCAAAAGGATGAAATACTATTTGCTAAAACCATGAAAAAAAAACCCCAAAACTATTCCAGTGCACAGATTTACTCTGTTTACAGCCAGGGAACAGTCAAAAGCTTGTATTCAACTTGACTTACACAAGCCTTACACTGATGGAACTTAATATGCAAAACTGAAGGATAAGGTAAGTTTGGAGTTTATAAACTTTCTCTTTTACATTATACTCATCCATTAATTAATTTATTTTTATAAAAGAAAAAAAATAACCTTCAAAATATAATTATTGCACTGGCTTGATCAATGCTTCGGGTAAACAGACTCAGGTGCTTCACAGGTTTTCAACCTATTTCTAAGCTTTCAAAAATAAGTAGCAACAGCAGCAAATGGTGAAACATTAGCTATGAGTTTGTGGAGGCATAAATGCACGTGGTGAGAAAAAATTAAGAATGTATAAAAGATAAAATACTATTAATTACAACCTAAAGGAAGTTGCTTTAGGGGGAAAACTAAAGAATTTGCCAAAATCAAAATGCACAACACAGTAAAAAAGTAGAATACAATTTTCAGTTATCTACAATGTCGTGCTTCCAGTGAGAAACACTGTAATAAAGAGAGCTGAGCCAGAGGCAGCACAGTTTGTGTGCCAGGGTTTCACAGTGCCTGTGGAACAGTGAGTGACACAGGGCTCCCACTCCCCAGGTCCCCTGGCAGCTGCACCCACACTGCAGGTGCTCCATGGGCTGGGGCAGAGAATTAACAATCCAGTGATGCCTGAGCAGAACTGATTGCACTATAGTGGTCTACAGATAGTTGAGAATGGAAAACATACCATTTTTCCTAGGAAACAAATAGATTTACAAACTGGAAAAACCTCCCTCCCCACACCCAGACACTGGGGAGTGACCAGAACACAGAAATTTAACCAGTTAACAAAGGACACATTGACATGTTACTGTTCCCCAGCTGTTCACCTGTAAGAAGCAAAGAGAACTGCACAACAGCTAAATGATGAATTAATTTTTAGCAGACCACATAAACAGAGAATATAAGTTAAAGTATAAAACTGTAGCCTAATCTTAAAGTGACTTGGATAAAAAGAATAAAATAACAGAACCAGTTACTCTTTTCTCTAAAGCTCACTCCTGCCTGACCAGTGCAACTTTCCCCATCTCTCTACCATATGTCTATTAATAGCCCCTTCAAGAAGAGGTAAACAAGGAACTAAAAATCAAAAAGTGTTGGAAAGGAGAGCATGGATTAACTGGACTCTTATCTAGTCAGATCAAAAACAGACCTCGAAGTACAGTGTCACCTCACAGATTTCTTACCACAAATTGAGGTTGTGCTGGGTATCACAAGCAACCACTCCGATGTTAATTTGAATTTTGGCCTCCATAGTTTCATGCAGTAAAACTTCTATTCACTCAAATAGTGTGAAAATGTATCTTTGTTTGTTTTGACTTAAAAGTTTCATCTTTGAATTGAATATCTTTCTCTTCCACTGTCACACCGAAGGGAACTCCTTCTGCAGCTCATTATACCATCTATGATATTAATGATGTATTTGGTTGCGTTACCTGCTGTTCACCTCCCTCCAAAGTGCACAGCACTGCTCTACAGTGAACACAACACTGCTCCCAAGACGAAATACTTCATACCCTTTGTGGTAGTTTGGCCCAGGCCTTCCTTGGTGACCAGCTTGTAACCAAGGAAGTGCCCAGATTTACCCGGTATTCCCTACGATTTTTACGTTAGCTGGGGTATAAGAAGAAGGGAGGAAAGGCCTTTGCTCTTTTTCCTTCCGGCGGCTTTGGAGGTGCAGATCTCCCTGTGTTGAGTCTGTCGGGTTGGGGAGTGAGGCCTGGTGGGGCCTTGTCGACCTTGGGAGGCGGAGGCTGCCGGCAGTCGCTCCAACGGGACTCTCCATTGTCCCAAGGAGAGTAGTAAGATATTCTTTGCTAATTCTTTTAGTTGATAGACCTTGGGCTACTGATCGGGAGATATATATATATATATATTATTTTGGTTTTTTGTTCTTCCCTTCCCCTTTCCCTTTTTTTTCCCTGTGAAATTATATATATATTTCAACTGTATATAACTGTAAATATAAGTGTAAATATATTTATATACATTACTTTGTCTCTCTCTGGTTTTCAGTTCTTTTGGGTTTTTTTTCCCCCTCTTCTCCCTCGGTTTGGGGTGGGGGGGGACTCCTTGTGGTGGGGTTTGGAGACTTGGCAGGGAGCAGCACCAAACCATAACACCCTTACACAGATGCAAGTCACTGTTACAGCTCGGAATTCCCAGCGCTGGGCATCGACCTACTTTGGGCAGCATGGGGGTGTCCCTCTTCTTCTTCTTTTCCGAGTTGGGGTCGTCCAGCAGGTCGGGCTCGAAGGTGTAGAGCTCCGTGAGCTCGTTCATGGTGAAGTGACGCTCCACCTGCTGCTGGTCGACCACGCGGAAGGACAGCGACTGCTTGGTCACCTGCCGGTCGTAGATCTTGTCCTCCATGGTGCCCTGCAAACACACCCCCCCTGCCATGACACACTGCACTGCTGGGGCACAGGGACACACAGAGAAAACACAGCACTTCTCCATTCCCCTCATTGCTTCCACCAAATTCCTACAAAGAACCCAAAATCCCTTTGTTTGGGAAGAAATAAAAGAAAAATCCTGCTGGAAGCCAACGCTGTAAGAATTGTGTATGGGACAGACGTCATCTAGCTGTTGACTGGAGTAAGGAAATTATTCTTTCAATAGTGTTGTTAAGAGATCCAGTTTTGCTGCAATTCCCCAAAGTAGAATTACGACCAAAAAATGGCAATTTTCACAGCATGTACCCTATTTTGCTGCTTTGAGCAGCCTGCAAAAAGGAAAACAGATACCATATCACTGTGGTGGAGGGGAGAGAGGAAGGGAAGCAGTCAAGCCTAATTCATCACAGCTGTGTATGAAAAAAATTAGATCTTTGATGAAAAAAGGAAAATTACTTATGCTTTGAAAAAAAAAGATGATGACTGAGAAGGATGAGAACAGCACAGCCTGTTCTGAAAAGCCTAATTTAGGAAGGATATCAACAGTTCAAAAGTGCACAGAGAAAACTACAACAATAGATTGAAGCCTGAAGAGAAAACCTATTTCTGACAGTAACATGTTACAGACAGTTGGAAATAGTGTCTTGATCAAGGGTTAAGTGCTTTACTGGGAAAGGTCTTCAGGCTACTCTGTAACACCTGAAGGACTAGAACATTACACAAGATACTTCCTAACAGAAAAAATGGTCTTACACTTAAATAAAGCATAGTTCAGTGTCCATCGGAATTATTACACATCTTTAATATTTGCAGGGAGTGATGCAAGTTTTCAAGTCATGACTTGATGCCTTTTACAAAAATTTCTTTATCTCCCTCTCATTTCATTCCCGTTGGACCATCAGGGCCACCCAGGGCAGGGTCTGTAGAAGGCACCTGCACTGAGCAAGGCTATTCCTTAACCACCATCCTCCAGAGGCTCTATTCAACTCAGAGCTTTTAGTAGTGTGCAAATTAAAAAAGCTGAGCCCCTATTCTGAGTCTAGATGTGTAAATCACTTCTAGAATTCCAGAACCTGCATCATACAAAGTGTCATATGAGGTGGGCTGAAGAGGAAATAATTTCAGTTGTTATTTATTTTACCATTCCTTCCTTCAAGAGCTGCTTCAGTGGCTGTTACAGATCAGGGCTGCAAAACAACTGCTCTGTGCAGATCACTCCAGACTCCAACACGAGTGCACATACAGACAGTTTACAGATTTGATTGCAGGATGAAATATCACAAAGATATCAGCCAGAAACCCACCTGAGCCAAAAACCTGTACACGAACACGGGTTTGTTCTGCCCAAAACGATAGACCCTGAAAATACTCTGGATGTCGTAGGATGGGTTCCAAGAGGCATCAAAGATGATGACTCTGTTGGCAGCCACCAGGTTTATTCCAAGGGAACCTGCTTTAGTGGATATAATAAACAAGCGGCCTCTGGAACAGAGAAGGGTTGCAAAATTTGAGTATTTTGGAAAACAACTATTGTTGCTGTGTTACTATGGAGTTGTTCATGCACTGAAATAACTCCAAAACTTCATTAAAATAATATATTAAGCGTAAAACAGATGCAGATTTTACAAGAACAACACTTCTAGCAAAACATATATTCCCAAAAATACAGATCAAGGCCTTTTGCAAACCAACTGTTAACAAAAACTGGAGGGGAAGAAAGAACTTTTGCATTTTCAAACTCTAATAAAACTAGTCATATCAAAATAAACCACAAATTTAAACAGGCAGATGTCATGCTATTGAAACTGCTTCCTGGCCTGCAAACTTTCAGGATAACTCTAGAATGACACCATAAAATCTGCTTTTTTTTGAAGGCCACCTCTCTCAGCTTCAACTTGAAATCAGTTCTTGACAGGTACTGACAGAATAAACTCTTTAAAAGTAGTAACACTGAATTAGTTTACTTCTTAATTTAAGTTTTTTCCCCTGCACATTATAAATGACTGCAATATAACTACAGACTTTATTTTTTAAACAAAGCTGGGAAGGTGAAGCTTCTTACCTTCACTTAAGTTGTGCAAGTTTATACCTCTCTATCCAAATGTGAATTCCAAGTCCCATCTTGGATGAGCAGTGGCTGGCTGGGAGACAATTCTGGAGACAGCTAACAGAGCCACATGCTTCTGAGTGGCCCAGGGACTGCTGCCTCCTGGCCAGAGCCCACAGGGCTCTGACTTGCCCAGGTCCTTATATCCTTTTAAGTCATTGCAATAAAAATATCTTCTCTGGTTTAAATTGGTTACAACCTAAAGAACTATGAAACCAGCAAGCAAACACTGAACAAGTATTGAGCAGCACTAATAGAATTAATCTAAAAAAGTCAGGAACATATTGCTGCACATATTTTGTGCAAGTTCTGACAACACTGTGATAATTATTTGCCTACCCTTAAGGTAATTAAGCTAATACAAATAACAAAGAAATAGGTAACCAAAGAAAGAAAAGGGGGAAAATGAAGCACCTATGTCAGAAAAGGTCTCACCTCACATTAGTTTCATCATTAAATTCTTCAGCCCATTTCTTTCTTGACTGAGCTGTAGTTGAGCCATCCAAGCGATAGTAATCGATGTTCCTGAACCATTTTCCCTCTCCTGTAAATGTAACAGTCAAATTATTAAAATGCTGTAAGTACCCAAACTAGTAACACTGGATACACACAACTCTCCAAGTAGTAAGGAACAAATACAGAACATAAAATACACTAATATGGCAATGGGAGAAGACTATTATTGGTATTCAAGATTGAGAATGTTTTTTGCAGGATACAGGTGCTTGTCATGGGCCTTCTGTAGTAGAGCCTGCATAACTAAATATAAAATATGTATCATGACAGGAGATAACAGTCATTCATTTGTGATGACAACCATCATCCACGAGCCTGCAACAGCTTGTACAAACCCTACACAGGTTTTGTCTAAAATTATTCAAAACCAGAATAAAATAAATGCCAATATCCTTTTACCTCATAAAAAGTATCCAGTATCTATCCCTACCCATTTCTTCTTGAGATTTTGTTGTTGTTTTACAGAAAGATTGATTCCTATTCAATGAAACTCCTCAAAGCAGTTTTATACAGATTGGAATGTGAAGATAGAAATTTTTAAAAAATGTTCTGAGCTTAAATTTAAATTGAAGTATTTGAAAAACACCTGAGCTTTTTCGGGGGTCATTCCTCTTGTTTTTCACTATTCTACTTATATATATATACATTTGCAGGGATATGCCTTGGCTTAACTTGGAGTCAAAGTTAATTTTAAAAAGTAGTTACATGTAGCTGCAGTTAAATCTAATCTTTAGGCATTACAGCACTAATTGTACTTTCCAACTGATCTGTGGAGCTCCATGTTACAGCACGAGTGTAAGTCAGTCTCTCCCACACAACCAGCATTTGTAAGGAAATGCTCCAAAGGAGACTTCAAAAGTCAAGCTCTAATAATTTTGGGATCAAAACTCGGAAAAATCTTTGAGTTTAATTACCTTGGGAGTTACAGCAACTTCTTGCCAGACTGGGGGAAAAAGCTACAGCTGATAGATCTTCTTCTCTCCCCAGTTCACAAGTAACCTTTCATTTTCTCTGGCCATCAAGGTGTGTGTACACAAAACTAATAGCACTGAGCCATCAATTATGAAGAAAACAGCATTTTTGAAGACAGCATTGCTCAATTCAATCAATTATGAGAAACAGATTGCTGTGTCAGGAAGTGAATCTTGCCACGATACATAATCTAATTGCTTACCAGAAGAACTACCACACATGAAAAAACCCCACTCCTTAAAACATTTTCTCCGACTAGAGGCACAAACTCCCCCCAAACCAGACAGCTTGTAACATCTGAAATGGCAAAAGCTCAGAAAAGGAAGCAACAGCCAGAAACAATAAATCTGTGAGAGGGAGATGTGGAGATCTCCAGCTGACTGTGTGTCTGTCACTGAGCCACCTTCCTCTTATTTCTAAGTGCAAACACATGGAACACTTGCACAGGACGTTGGAAAGGGATGGCAGAGTTGAAGGAATCCTGCACTGCACATGGACTGGGAACTGAAACTCCACACAAGGATCAACTGCATCATCAGGAGCTCTGGGAGCACCTCAGAGTAAATAGGACAAACATCCTAAGCAGAGGACGAGTGAGACATTCCTTGGCATTTGAGCATCACCAGGATAATAATTAACTCAATATTTGCTCCCTTATGAAATCCATAAGCCAATCTACTGCCCGACATATAAATTCATATTTTGCATGTTTTACACACTGGTTTAAAGTACCCTAATTCTTTCATCAGCTCTCCCTTAGAAGGAAGGATCAGAACCTGCCACAGATCAGAACGTAACATCACTTCTATAAAGGATTTAACAAAATGCCTTCTCTCCTCTCAGATGATGAACATTTAAGCTGCTTAGGCTGTAACAAGCATGGATGATACAGAATGAAATCAGAAGCAAGAGTCCATAATGGGATAGCAGAGACCACCTGCAGGGGAGACCAATAATCCTGCCAACTCCAGGAACAGTCCAGAGCATGCAATACTTATTGCAAATCCACTCCCTGTGGACTGAAGAGAGACTGGTAAAAGAGTCATGAGCTTTGCAGTTGTTCAAGGAGACACTCACCTTTATAGATAGGAGGCTTATCTCTGTCAGTTTTCTCCCTGTTAGCCAGCTCCAGGAAATCTTCTATCAAATCCAGAGATATCAGGGACTGGCTGAACACTAGGCTGGAAACAGAAACAGGAGAACACAAAATTCATCTCTGAAGTTATTTTATTTATTTTACTGCTTGGTTTTTCTTCCCTCCTCCCTTTGAGACAAACAGACCTTCTAGGCACAGGTGAAGACTTTGGTGGAATTTTGGGCATGTGTGGGAAAAATCCCTCACAAAAAGGCATGCAGCCTTTGCACATCTGCTTCAGAAAACAGCTACAGCATAACCAAGAGTGAATTCAGAACACTGTCAGACTACATATTTATAAGGTCATTAGTAATATGCCTAGACCTGACTTACACTTTGTCTCCAAGCTCCTCTGCCATTCGAAGGATTTCAAAGAGAAGCACCATTTTCCCAGAATGTTCCAACACTTCGGCATCTGCATCAGTGACAAAATCTTTGTACCAATCTGGTGCTGGGCTGCCAGGATTGGAAGAGGATGTAGCTTTGCCTAAAAAAAAAAAAAACAAAACAAACCAAAATTAAAGATAAGAACACAGTCTCCATTTAAATGCTTTGAAATGTCTGAACAGACTTGTTTCCTCATTATTAGATGTAAATATTATGAAAAGAGTTAAAGAGACAAAAAACCCCCAGCATTTGCACTATTAGCAATTACAAGGCTGCACGAGAGGTAAACTTTTAAGAGATCTAGAGACAGAATAATGTAATTAACACATTTAATCTCTGTGTGTTTTCCATACACACGCTCCTCCCTTACACATTTACAATATGTTTGTCATTAGTCTGGAGACCAAAAAACCCCAGAGTTCTCATCTTAACTGTCCCCAAAAAATTCAATTACTTAGGAAAAATCACTAGACACACATGAAATGACAGAATCGGAAAATTACCTCTATAATTCCAGATACAAGACAAAATCTAGATTATGAAACAAAAATCAAAAAATGAAACGTGCAGCTTTAAGAAGTTTGAATAATAATCTTTAAAAAGAGCTTGTATTCCTGCTGCATCATATCATCCAATTCAAATTCCAGGTGCAACAAATCATGACATGTATATTTCTTAATCTTTCCATTAACCTTTTAGCAATATGTTAAAAGAAGATGAAAAGCAGCATAGCTCCTCAGTTAACTTTATATCCTTTTGTATTTCTGAATTTTAAAAAAAAAAATCATTGTGCAGCTTCCCTGCCTCAAGACCCCTCAGTTCTAAATCGATGCCCCTTGTTTTTCCAGGATGAGTGCACCATTAGGAGGAGCAGGAGCTGTAAGGATGGAATTAAGGAATTTGCCATTCTGCAACACAGCAGAATTCCTGACAGTCCTCTTCAACTGCCTTTTTCAAAATGAAGCTGCCTCACATTTTATTCATTCTGTATCATACTCACCTTCATCTGACTTTGTCGATGACGGGTTGTTTGAAAGATCTTCTGCATTTCCTTCTCCACCTCCACGAGATCTTGAATTCCAGACTTTAATGACTTCAACATCATTATCACTGCCACTTCCACTTGAGCTAGACTCTTTCTTCACCTTTTTCCCCTTGGATTTTTTTTTCCTAAAAAGGCAACATTACACACCCCATTTTTTTTTAAATCCCACTGCTAGAGAACATATTCTGACAGATACATAAAATGCAAAATAAACATTCACTTTTATAGGAATCACTTCAGCTCTATCAGGAAAATAAATCCAACAAACAAAATAAAAGCTCAATTACTTTGCATAATCATCAGAACTTAAGCTCATTGAAGTTTCTTCCGAATCTGAAGCTATGAAGTCATCCATGCTGTCTTCATCAAAATAGCCCTCAAAAGAGAAAAAAAACCAGAAATTATTACATATATTCATCCAGAAGCTTTTACTAAAACTTTAGCCATCTGCTTAGCCTTCATTTAAACAATGGTAAGTTCTACAAAGGTTGGCCTTGAGAAATATTTTAAGAATGACAACATACCCTGAAAGAAAAATATGACAAAACCAGCAGCGAAGATACCCCACACCAACAAAGATTTCCATTAATTTGACAAAACCTTACCTATAGTTTGGCAAAGCTTATTTGGAAAGTTCCCAATAGAGAGTATTTTGATATATCTAATTTACCTTATTTTCTTTGCTAATATAGTCCAGCTGCAAACACCAAGGGTGAGTCCAGATTCTGCTCAACATCTGGAAATCCTGGAATAGTTTAGCTCCAGCTTTGCCTCTTCCACCTTCATTGCCACCACCTACACCTGACAATAAAGTTCAGGTTTTAGAGTGGAACCTTGAAGTGAGTTTGCCACATTCTGTTCCCCCTTTGAACAACCCGCCAGTGCAGCACTGAGTGTTCTTTCCAGATGCACATCATCTTGTAACATCTCTTGTAAAAGAGCTCAAATTACTCAGTCACGGGCAATTTTTTTTCCTAGTTAAAGTTGTCAAAATTAGATTTTCCCCTTTCTCTAAATAATGAGAAACATGATTACATTTTTACATAAAAGCACATTTCTTCCCAGTACAGGAATGACTCTAAATCCTCTTAAAAAGACATTCATGTCTATTTGGGGTTGTAAAAGCAGCCCAAGGTGGAAAACACAAAATAACACTGGCATTTAGGTTTCAATGAATTTGGGTTTTTATCTATTTTTATCTACCTTTATTTAATGCCTTGTAATGCTGCAGTATTCTGCTACAATAGAAACCCTAAAAGAACCCAGCCTATTTGTTCATTATCAAAGCACAGACTAGTGCAAAGTAGTAACAATGTTCAGAGTTAAATTTCTTTTTCATTAAGCACCATGTTAGGTTTCTGAAAGAGATTGTTTTTCATATTTATTATGTGGATAATTTAAGGCATGTAGACCTGCAAGAAAATAGTGTTTACTGCATCGCAGTTATCAAATGTCTGCAAAAAAACAAGCACAAAACTTATTTGGTGCATTTGCTCAATGCATAAGATAATCCCTCTAAACATCTACAAAGTGTTTTAAGAAAGCAGGTTCTCGCTAGGTTTAGTCACACAACGTGGAGTATCTTCCCATTTGTGCTTTGGGAAATGGAACTGTAAGGATCACAGAAATCCTTAGACTTGACTTCCCTCATCATCAGTTTCACTAAGGAATTTGCCATTAGCAAGTTTCAATTTAACAAGTTCTATAGACTTTTAAAACTCTTTATAACTTAACTAAATAGAGGCAACAGAAAACAGAACTGCTCATTGACAGGAGGCTGAACATGAGCCAGAGTGTGCCCAGGTGGCCAAGAGGGCCAATGGATCCTGGCCTGGATCAGGAAGAGTGTGGCAACAGGAGCAGGGAAGTGATTCTTCCCCTGGACTCAGTGCTGGTGAGGCCACCCCTGCAGTGCTGTGTCCAGTTCTGGGCCCTCAGCTCAGGAAGGACATGGAGGGGCTGGAGCAGGTGCAGAGAAGAGCAACGAGGCTGGGGAAGGGACTGGAGCACAAGTGCTGTGAGGAGAGGCTGAGGGAGCTGGGGCTGTTCAGCCTGGAGAAGAGGAGGCTCAGGGGAGACCTCCTCACTCTCTACAACTCCCTGACAGGAGGGGGGAGCCAGGGGGGGGTTGGTCTCTTTTCCCAGGCAACTCTCAGCAAGACAAGAGGGCTCAGGGTCTTCAGCTGTGCCAGGGGAGGTTTAGGTTGGATATCAGGAAGAAATTCTTTCCAGAGAGGGTGATCAGCCATTGGAATGGGCTGCCCAGGGAGGGGGTGGATTCTCTATCCCAGGGGGTTTTTAAGATGAGATTGGATGTGGCATCAGTGCCATGGGTTGGGAACCATGGTGGGGTTGGATCAAGGGTTGGACACGATGATCTCAGAAGTCTTTTCCAACCTGGCTGATTCTATGATTCTAGGAAGCTGGCAGTTCACCTAGGAGATCAGAAACTGCATTCTCCAGAATCTAAAGGTGTTAAGACAACACAGTGAATTCCATACTGCTATGAATCACAGACCAATTTGAGATACAATTCATTTTTCTAGTAATTAAACTTGGGAGAATAACGAAAAGTATAGTTAAAAAAATCCTCAGCAACAGACAGGCATTTTAAGACAGGTAGTTTAACAAGTGTAAAAAAAATATAATGAACTGGCCCAGCAGACTATGTAGGACATTTTGTAACTGCTGCAGAAAGGGAATACCTGCTTCATGCTTTACAAAACATCCTACTAGCAGTGCCTTAAACATTCTTGACTATGAAATTCATTAAGTGAATTGCTTCAGAAGCCAAGAGCTGCAGCTGAGGGCCGTGGCTGTGTGAAGCACAGAGGTACAGAAAACCTGCCCAGGCATTCCTGGAGATGACCATTCCCACAGTGTGTGTGGGATGCGTCACTGAGACGTTGATACCCCAATACCTTGATATACTAAAATTACAAGCTACAGTGGCTCAGCTCTAATGCAGTGAACAGCACACCAGCCCACAGTAACACGTTTTAGGGTTGTGTTTTTTCCCTTATACACCTTTCCAATGAAACAAATTTACGTTTTTGGGGGGGAAGATGCAAATTTCCAAGACAGGCCAGTCAAGATCTCACTGAAAGCTGATGAAGAGCACACATTGTGAAACCTAGACTTATGGGTTTTGAGAGGAAAAGAAGAGACAGTTCCACAAAAGAGCCAATATTTGACAAATAACAGCTTCAGCTGGCATAAAGGCAGAAGGGAACTACAGGACTTGGCTGTGCTTACACCAGGACAGCTCAATTCAGTATTCTCTCCCTCCAGTCTTACAGTCAATACCTTCTTCTTACTCTTGGAAGAGTAAGACACAAAATCAATTACATTTTATATTTAGAAAAGGAAGAAATATCTATGAACCAAAACCTGAAGGTGGACTGCTGTCAAGAGATACAAATATTATTATTCTTTCTCAAAAAGCCCAGATGTTTTGCTACAATTCAAGTGTCAAGAGCTAAAGTAAATCTTACAGGAAGCAGAAAAATACATCCACAGAGCCAACAACACATCTAAAAACCCCAACCTACCAACTGTGGCAAAATGCACCTTATTAAATGACCCTCAGTCTTGTGACCAGAGAGAAGTGTAGGCACATACCTGTGAGATGATCCAAGTAGTACTGGTACAGTTTGCACTGAATAGGAGTCATCCGAACCTCCAGAACATACTCATATTTCGGAGGGAGGAATTTTGTTAATGCTGTGTAATCTTTCCTCTGCAATTTCACAAACAGGGCTTTAGTCACATAAACAAGAAAACGACTCCCGAGAGCTTAAGAACTTTTGGCATCTTCAACGCCAAATGGATAAATTACAACGATTCAGATGCTTTCCAACCACAAAGGGGGGAAAAATAACCCATGAAATACAACCCAATTACAGGCCCTGTCAGCAGGAACCATCTTACCTAGTCAGTGTGGTTATGCAGGCAAAAGTCTATGACTTGTTAACCCCATGTCCAGTTCCAAGTCCTTGCAGAGTTGACTGCAACTCCAGTAGCTGCTCTGGGAACTACTTTTGTGGGTTTTTTTAGAATATTAAAACCTTTTCTGTGAAAGCATGTCAGGCAAGTGTGAAATACTAAATACTTAAGTATTTAAGTGTGAATACTAAAACCTTTTTCTGTGAAAGCATGGGTAAATCAAGCAGATAATATCAATGTTTGTATCATGGAGGAACTCCCACTCAGGATAACACATTTTCTGAATACTTGCTTGGGGCGATGCAGATTTTACTTCTATTTTAATTTTTTGACTGTTACAGAGTCTACATCTCTCTACCCCCACTCCAGCCAAATGGTGATTGATCCTGACCAGGGATTGTTGTACATTCAGGAGTGAAGTGACCTTGATCAGAGCTGATCTGCCTGTGCTGTGCTGCACAAACCCCTGGTTATCCTGCAGGACACCCTCAGCAATAGGAGCCTGCAGGCAGCTCCCACTTGGTCCAGCTGATGGTGACACCTCATGGCTGGTGAGAACATCCTTTGGCAACAGAGTTGTTTTCTTGGAAGGCAGTGACACAGTAGCTCAATGAGCAAAAGGGAAAGCTGCTCTCCATGGACAGGGTCTGCTCCTGTGGGCTCCACCCAGTGCTGCACAAACACAGTGCCCAGCATCTGAACACACATAAAATTTACTTAATATTTATGCTGCTCTTCCCATTCTGTCTTTCAATTTGTGTTCCTGTACTGCTGTATGGAATTATGCACATTACGCTCTTGGTACTATTCCTATTTCCAAGATTTTATGATAGGAAGTCTTTTACACTGCCATAAAGCTTCTTATTTCTCTGTTTGTGGCACTGTCCCACCACGACCATTTCACCCAGCTCGTGTTCACATGGATTATTAAACCCACTACCAACAACTGCCCAGCCAGGAGGAAGCACTTTGTGCCCACAGGGTGTCACACCTTCCACTGGGCTGCCAGGGCCTCGTGTTGGAAAGCAGAAGAGCAGGAACACCCTGCTGACAGCCCACAAGGTGCAGGTTAACTGAAGGGTGAAGAACCCAGCCTTTATTCTGGAAGTCTAGGCAGCTTTGCTTATTTTTTTTTAATCTAAGGTCCTTAAGATAACAAATTCTTCACTCTTTTGGACCTGAATAATTTTCTTTCTCTCCTCTTCCCCATTGCACTGATTCTCTTAGATCAGAAACAAGAGGAATTCATAACCAAGTGACAAACTATGGATCACCATCTTTCTGTGCAGATTTTAAGGCAGCTGAGTTTTTAAATATGTATTCTTTAAACATGCATATCAAATTAAATAAGAATATTTCAAAGCAACTAATGTCCCACTCTATCATAAAATTTTCTAGACCCCTAGCAGGAAACAGCTGTATTCTTCAACACATGTATATGCCCTGCTTAGGATACACAAATTTCTTAGTTTTTATCCAAGTGCCAGTGTAATTTTTTCTACTCACAATAAATAATGCTGAGATCTAAGACTCAGTGAAAATACAATAAAGTCAATGGAGCTCTCAGGTAACAAGTTTACAGGCCTTTGGGTGCTTTTATCAGAACGAGATGAAATCACTCCTCTCCTTCCCTGCAGTTAAATGAAATGTGTAGCCAGAGCCAAACTGTTCTCACCTGAACACATCCAGCCAACATCTCATAGAGGATGTGTGCACGTTTCTTCATCACTCTGACGTCTGCCAGAGTGGAGTCTGCGCACTGCCCGTTCTGGATCGGGTTAATGAACCGATTCCGGAACTCCTTAATTGAACCAAGTAAATTCTCCTTAATAAAGTTAACCATGCAGTGATCTAGGACAAAAAGATCACACTTGAATTGTTCAAAATGGAAAGCACAGCACCGGGATTAATTCAAACAGAAAATAAATGCGTCATATCCAAACACAGATACCGAGAACTCACAGGCAGCTTCATTGTATCAAATTCTTTCCTCTTAATCAAACTAAATCTATCTTTATCTTGCTGACAGACTAAAGTATAATCAAGGAAATAAACGCTTCTTAAACCAGACAACTACTCACATTCTATAAGATTATTTTGCAGTGGGGTTCCTGTAAGAATTATTCTTCTCCTAGACCGAATAGAATTCATTGCCTTGGAGACAGCAGATGCTTCGTTCTTCAGAATGTGTCCTTCATCACAAACCACAAAGTCAGGACCTAGAAAAGAAACAGCATTGGATCTCTCCCATACTTTATAACCACAAAGAAACCGACAGACTAAAGAACCCAAAATTTGTTCTACTGATGTTATTAATTTTTTTTTTTAATTATTTTTTTAAACTTGTGTGTGTGTGTTTTATGGTGGGGTTTTTTAGCACCACTTGGGTTCCCACTCAGCCTGTGCACAAGCATTCACAGTAGCCATTCTAGTAAACTACAGGCTGTTGCTTGTGAAGTCTTCATGGGAAGGATTAATTACAGCTTTGTAATATATTCCTACTAAAATGGTCTATCCCTGCAGCTGTGAGTGCATGGCTGCACCTCCATCAACCCTGTCAAAACTCTGGAGAACTATTCCTTCCCTCCAGCTTTAGGCTGCCATCTACTGACGCTCAGGCAACCCCAAAAACCACCACAATTCAGGTCACCTGCAATTTTTCATCAAGGCAACAAGTCAGTATCAGTAGGGATACACAGTGCAATCAGAAGCCTTGATAAGATAAAACACGACCAAATCTGATTTGAATTACAGATAAGTGAATTGCCACCTTGTAGCTGAAAGCCACCTCAGAAAGGTCCTCAGCTTTCCTCCAGAAGATAAACCCAAGAATGTCCAAACCACACCACAACACGTTTCCACAATATGCAAAGCCACTCTACTAAAATTACATGTTATATTTTGGGGTTTAAGATAAATAATACCATATTTGGCACAACAGACTTACACACCCTAATTGTTTTCAGATTTGGGGCAATTTCTGGAAGCTCCTTTCTTGAAAGGAGTACTAAAAGATACTCGAGGATGCCTCTAATAACTCAGAGGGAATGTTTTACGAGCTCTAAACCTGACATCAATCCCAACACTATCAACCCTGCAGTCAGGGAAGACAAGCTTAGACACCTTGGAGAAAAGCCACGAGCTGGGTTCAGTATTTAGCTCTAAAAAGGCTGATATTTGAGGTGGCCAAGGGGTGTTTATCAGCAAGGACAATCCAACCTTCTACAACTTACTAAGAACAGTTTTCTTCAGACGAAATTTAAACTGCCTTGTAAAGAAGAAAATTAATTCTAGGGCAGTGATCAACAACAGAGAATTACACCTCTGACCCCTCACATGATCTCATGCCAGTGCCAGTCACTTCAATTTTGCCATTTTAAGGGTCAGAAAGTGATTTGAACCTTACACATTAACAGAAAAGGAATCAAGAAAATATTTATTTCCAAGGAGAAAAAAATAAAATATTCTTGAGCCAAGTCTAGAAGACAATTCTGAAAATCCACATGTGAATTCCAAACACACTTAGGCTTGTCCAAGCCTACTTATTCCTGAATTTTCACACCTGCCACAGAAACATTTCCCAATATTACTTCACAACTTTTGTACCTTCCCAGTTTTGACAGCATGAAAAGCACTGAGTGGCTACATACAAAGTCCTCCTTCCATTTCAGCCAACCATCTCTAATCCTGACAGATCCTCTCACCTGTCCTCATTGCATTAAAGACTGTGATTCATTGACATCTTTAGATAAGTGAATGACAGCAAAAATACAAAAAAACCCCTATCTTAGTACAATTATATGTGCTTTGTTTGGCAGGCACTGATATTTTGAACTAACATCTTGGCTCCGAGTCAGCAGCAAGGATTTCCATAAATTTGTGGGGTTTTTCCCTTGTTCTTAAAAAACACAAATACAAGTCACTACGGACAGAACATTCCTCAAAATATTATAAAGGAACGTAAAACTTAGAGGGACCTCAAGGGATCAGTCAGTCTATTTTCTCCATCTGAGATAAGAATTATGAGAAAGGAACAGACAAATCCTCCCTGACAGAAGTGGGAAACACCATGACTTCTCTCTTGCTAAAACACTGTGCAATAACACCCAATTTAAATCATCTCTGTTGCAAATCCAAATAAATTCTGCTCTTTCCTTTCTCCAGTTGATGTCAAAACCAACTGGTAAAACTCCTTTCATTAACCAGCTCTTACATGACGGAAAATTTGTCATTTAATTGTCTTTTTTCTAGGCTCAAAAGCCTTACTCTTGCAATCTTTCCTCAAAAATCAATCTTCACCTTCTTATCCTTGTTGTATTTGCAGGTAAAAGCTGGATATACAGAGATATATACACACAGTTCTCCTGTTCCTCTGAAGTCTACAAGAACTTCATACAACTGCCAGTTGAGGAGCAGTTTCCAAGTTAAACAGTAAAGGAATTTTTATTAGTAGCAACACTTAGAAAAAAATACGAAGTTTCTGCAGTGCTGCAGCAAAGCACAGCAGTGACCCACAAACCAACAGCACCTCTGCAGTGGCATAAAGCACCTTGGAAAACCATTTGTTGCTCTGCATGTGTTTATAATCCTGCCATTATTTAACATAGCAGAGCTAGTTAATTAATGAAATCAGTTCTCCACCCATAAACTTTGGCTAAACCTCTGCAGTGCAACACAAGCTTCTACTATAGACTATGTCATACCCCAGCAGTGTTCACTTGAACCAGACACATATCATTAAATCAGCACTCAAATACCAATTTGCAGCTTTTTACATGGAAAATGCTCCCAGGGGCAAAGGTTTTCCTCTTTCCAGTCACAGCAGTCAGCCAGCACATCACTTCTGACCCTTGTCCTGCCAGCCTGCTGTACTGGCCATGCTCATGCTCCCAGAGAGCAAGAAATAAATAAGTATCTTGCAATGAACATTCTCATCAATTTAGCCAATCCAAATGGCTCCACAAACTAATGGACAACAACAGATGGACACTTCTGGTTTTTCCCAATTAGTTAAAATAGAAGAAGATCTGAAACAACACGAAGTAACAAGAAATGCCCTCAGGCTGTGCCAGGGGAAGTTCAGGTTGAGTATTAAGAGAAATTTCTTCCCAGAAAAGGTGGTCAGGCATTAGAAGGGGTTGCCCAGGGAGCTGGTGGAGTCCCCATCCCTGGACTGTTCAGAAAACAAGCAGACTTCCCAATATGGTTTAGAGGGCATTTGGTTGAAGGCTGGACTTTACCTTGGAGGTCTTTTCCAACCTTAAAGATTCTGTGGTTCTATGAAAATAATTACAGAGTTATTTCAAGGTTGATTTTCCTTATGGTCCCACTCCATCCCACCAACTCACGAGCCCAAGAAGAGAATAAAACAGGAGGTTCCATGTTCACACTTTCCATGAGGAAAAAATCCACGAAAATCAATCACCTTTTATTTCCTCATTGCACCAGAACACAGCCCCTGAGTACCAAGTTATTGTCCTGTCACCACTACTTTGAGACAGCAATTCACACTTTTCTTCTCTGGCTTTGACTTTCCTGGCAATATTCTCAATAAATGCAATACACTGAGCAAATCAGATACAGAATAACACTGACAGCATGGGGTTCCCCTACACTTTTTTTTTTGTTTGTTTTGGTTTCTTGCTGCGTTTTTGGTTTGTTTGTATTTAGTAACTACAACTTTAGGAGTCAAAAAACCCACTGGCAAGAAGGGCATTTCCTTCACTGCTTAAATAATGTGTGTGGAATCATCGTGACCACAAAAATAGTTCACCAGCTGCTGTACCAGAGCTTCCCTGACTCCACAGCAATTATATGATTTTGTGAGTCAAGCTGGCAGAAAATTAATTAATGTTTTAGCTGCTCAAACAGGCTTTCTGCAGCACTGGAGATGCCAATTCCACTTGGCCAATGCCAATAATCACAAAGTTATTTTCCCCATTAGAATAAACTCTTTGTCAGTCAGAACAAAATTCACAGTCCTACTGTTAATTGGAACTTCACAAAATCAAGCTCACCAAGTACAATTATCAACAAGAAAGAGAAAGGGAAAAAAAAAAGAAAATCAATCACACAGCGTCAACATCAAGTCCAGTCAGATAATTAATATCCAAGAAAACCCACCTCCATTTACCCCACCTACCTGTCTGCATTCTCAATTTAAAGAGAAAGGCAGAGAAATCCCAAAGTTACAGCAAAGGTGCCTTTTAAAAACAGTTTTTAAGATACACTGCATGCTGCATAACTGAGTTGGTATCAGGTGCCAGTTCAGAATCTGAAGGGAAATGTTCCTATTTTGGTGAAACTTGCTAGTCCTAAAATTTTTAGTTCTTTTCTGTGACCTGATAGATCAGTTAATATTAACTTGGAATACTTTCAAGTGCTTCCATACATGTTGATGTAAGTTTGCTCAGTTCAGCTCAGCTCAAACCAGACATCTGCTTCTCAAGACTAAAAAAATAATTAAGTGCTTTATCTGAATTCACTTAATTAGCACTTAATTAACAATTGTTTTTTTCACTCTTCTAAGGCACAAATTCAGCTATTTTTCCTGTGTAGTTGCCCCCTTAGTGAGAGATTTCTATCAAGGACAAAGCAGCTCGTGGTTGTAACAAATTAGCAGGTGAAAATAACCTTAGGTTCCGAACATAAGGTTACTTTAAATCACCTTGCCAAGAAAGAAATGGTAGAAAAAAAACCTAACAGGAAAAGTTCCCAGGATATATTCCTGAGGTCATTCTAATAGAAAAGACTGTTACAAAGACTTCTGTTATTGATAAAAGCAGATGGGGAAGTTTCTGGACAAGAACTTCTGTAACTCAGAAAAGCCAACAAAGAAAATCCGGTCAATCTTCCCGATGTTTTCATTTATTTCCTTTGCTCACACGCATAACCCGGGAAGTACAACAGACACAAAATGTGTTCATTTTCACTTACCTGGATCGACTAATGCTTTATTGAATATTTCTTTAAGTTTCCTACTCTTCACATTCCTGCCCTGGGCCAGGTTTCGATACATCTCGTAGCCGATGATCATCACCCCGCCCTCGTCCTGCCAGTGCTGCAGCATGTAGCTCCTCTCCTGGGGGCGCTTCACGGTTGCCAGCTCACAGACCTTCCAAGGGGGAAAAACATGCTGGGATTCCTCTTGATGCCTTAAGCCCCCTAATGTTTTTATTTTTCTAATTTTGTAAGCCTTATAAGTTTTATAGGTAATAGAAGTAGATTTTAGAAACAAACCCCTTTCTCCCTCCTCCCCGTAGTACCCCTTAGTTTATACATTCCTTAATCCTCTTACCCCATTCCATACCCCCCATATCAACCCTATTCCCATATCCAGTAGAAAATGTTTAGTCTCTTAGTCAAGGTAACCCTGTCTTGTTTGGGGAACGTTTGTATCTTGGCCTAAACCGCGGGACAGAGTCAAAGAACTGGGTGACTCTGCTCTCTGTACCCCGAAGATGATGAAGGATGATGAAGAGGGGGTCCCAAAAAGCCCCCAGACCCAATTCCAGGAGGTGGGCCAGGGGGTGGACCAGGCCAAAAGTTATAGGGTGGACACACCTGGGATTGGCCAGATATTGTTATAAATGTAACATCTCGGGCACAGCCCGGCGCGCGTCGTGTAACATCTCTTGCCTTGGCACAATTAAACCCTTTCTTATCTTACCCCAACTAACGGCTCCTGGATTTTTTCTTAGCACCAGCTGAGCAGGCATCACTCTCACAACACTGAAATACCGGTGTAACTTCTACTATTTAAGATTTATTAATGCAAGTAGATTTTTCACATTCCTTAGTCCATATTTTGAGTGGTGGACCTTCCCAATTACGTGTAAACCATTCAATTATTTCATTTTTAAGAAACTCTTTTTAAAAGTCTTGTACCTCTAGTCTTTCCTCATCTTCTAAACCTTCTTGCCATTTTTCAAACTCATTCAGCCAGTTCAAGGCAGTGTTCAGTGGACACACAACCAGAGCTGTCCGAAAATCCAGCTTGTCACACAGCAAGACTGTGTGGAGAAAACTTACCACCTGCAAGAGTGAAAACCAGAACACTAAATAAACCACTGGGGATTCAACATCAGGACAGAAAGATACAGTATCTATTCAATTATGTAATTAATTACCAACAACAGACTTGTTTAAACATGCTTTTTGTGTTTTCAACTTGCTGCTTAAAATTTAATACAGGTGTATTTTGAGTTCATACACTTCTTACTCTGTGTTACATGGCTGCACACATCCTTCACATACTGAGCTACAGGCAGTTCTGAATTGCTGAAGGATTTCATAAGTAGGGAACCCTCCCTTTACATTTCACCAATCATCTTCATAAATTCGAAATTTCTATTAGGTCATTTTTAAGCTTTCTCCCAAAACTTGCCCAAAACATCAAATAAATTTGAATTCATGTTTCTTGAAAGTGAATTTCAGTCGTAAAACAGTTTTTCACATTTTTTTAATGTATTGGCAAATTCTCTCAGAGGATCTCTCAAGCAGGTTATGGAACTGTTTTCAAGGATTCAGCCTGTAGCCAGCCTGGCTCTATGTTGCAGATGACAACACCTCCCTGAGGCCTGAGAAATGCCTTAAATCTTCTGGGGTCACTCAGAGCTGGGCCTGTTTTGTGCAGCAGTAAATGAAGGCAGGGCTAGAGCTCTCAGAAGCAGAAGAGTCAGTGATCTCCAGCTCTCCCACCTGACTTTTAATGGTGACTGCACTCTAATCCACACTTTTCACAGTTCTTTCTGGATAAAATCTTGGTATCTGGCAACTCTGATCTAATACACTATTCAAAGGAATTTCTAACTGCACGACTACGCTTGGAACACAGGGCAACAAATTGCTTTTAGCTGCTGCAAGACAAAAGGAGTCATTGGTTGTTTTGTGGTAAGACTAAAGCATCTCGTGCTCAGATGTACCCATGAAGGCTCATCACTGAAGTCCTGCATCCTGGCCAGCAAGTGCCCAGTTGCCTGATTTTGCTGCTCACTCCTGACATCCTGCTCTGCAGTTTGCAAAGTCTGCTGGAACTGATGGCTGATTCAGCTCTTTTAAAGAGCTAAACAACAAATGCCATCCTAGAGCACAGCAGAATGACTGGCAAATGAATACAGAGGGAAAAAACCAGCTGCCTAAGCTGTAAGCACCAGCCTTAAAAATGGTTTTTGTTGATACACGTTGGTAGCTATGGTTTTCTTTGATTATCAAGAAGTTACAGCCACAATAATAGTCATTAACACATATGGATCACATAGAAAAATACTTTCTGCTGCAAAACATTTCATTAAACCATATAGTGTATAAAACATAAATATACAAAGTCCCCGAAGCAACAGTCCTGCAAAGCATTACAAATCTCCAGTAAAAAGTGCAATTTACTCCTGTAGAACCACAAGTTAGAATCAAGCATATAAAAATATACTCTTCAAAGGTGATTTTCAGAAGTGTTCTACAGAACTGTAGACTGTCAAAATACTGTGTCTGTCTCCCCAGCTTCCCTAAACAAACCAAAGCTGTACATACTGCAGCTGGAGCTCTCAAAAACCCGCTGTCCACGTGCTGAGCACCACCAACCAAAACTGCAGCTTAGGCTGCCTTAACTGTACATACAGCAAATGACCTCAGTCCCTCTGATCATCTACAGCTCTGTGGCACTCAAACCCCCCCAGGCCCACCAGAAAAACCAGATTCAGAAAACCACAAAACCCAAGCTTCCCTTGAGCCTGTTCTTTGCAGAATCCACAGAATCTGAAAATGTTTCGCCAGTCAAGGCGTTCCTTGACCATATCCTACAATCTGCTGGTACAGAAAGATTCTTGGGACCAGAAAGTCCTAAAAAAACACTGTCTGAATTAGGTCAGAGAACAGGATTAGCTATTTCTCATGTAATTTCACTGTTTGAAGCTCCTGGTTTAGAGGGCAGACTCAAGGATCAGGAAGCCACCTGAGCACAGCTAAGGCCAGCAAGGAATAACAGTCACCTCCTGTTGGATGTGCTCTGAAGACTTTCTCCTGGAGCACATTGCAAGGCTCTAAAAATAATAACAGTGAAAGGCATCAAGCCAAGCCAGGTCTGCTCTTTAGCAGCATCCAGGTGTGCTGACTTTGACAAACACCAACCAGGAAGGCAGAGTGAGCACTACAGAGAGTAAAAACTACAGAGCTGCCTCATTCCAAACACACGGGTGTCAAACACTGACTGCTTGTCACAGGATCTCACAGCATTTTGTTTGCTGAGTGACTGCCAAGGTGGCAGAGCTGGCTGCAGCCACTTGCAGACTGTGAATCCAGCTGGGGCACAAAAATTCTGAGCCAAACTCCATGGAGCTTGGAATTCCAGTGCATTGATACACTGAGCTGCCTAGGAATGAACAGATGCTGGGCCTTTGGGTCGGGTGACAGGGCTTCCCAATCCAGTGGGGAAGCTCTTACCACAACTGACCAAGATGGAAGAGGATGGTGAGAAGGCCTACCTCATTGCAGGAAAAAAATAACCTCTTTGAGAGCCACCATCACCAAGGTCAAGAGACTGTACTCCAGGGAATGGGCAAAGTGCATCCACACTTGGAGGATGTGAAGAAAGAATTTAGACTGAAGTGTTGCACAAGTGCTGGCTGCTAACGTGATCTAGATTTGCTGGTCAAACTCCCCAGAGCACCAGGAGGATCTCCTGAAAAGGGACTTGAGAGCTAAGAACCACCCCTAGCACAGGGAGGCCCGGATGGATCCCGAGCTGAAATCGGTTCTAGTCAATCCAATGTCTGCAGAAGCTGCAATTGCATTTCTAAGGATTCAGCTCAAGCTAGAGATCAAAAAATTCACAGCAGATCATTTCACTGGCCAGTTGTCCTGATAAAAATGTAGGAATATCTCCCTCCTCCAGAAATGAGGAAATAGCATCAGTGAAGGTCAACGATAGGGAGACCACAGTGGCCCTGCTTTTCTGACTGTCTTTTCAAGCACAGACAAGGTTGTCAGCTGCCTTTCTTCTTCAGAGTTCTTGAAAAATTCCCTATCTCTTTCCCAGGATCAGAGGGAAAGGTTCTTCTGACAAATGACTTCTGCTAAAGGGATCCTTGGGAAGAGACCAGGTAGCAGAGCCAGACGGGCAGCTCAGCCCAGCTCTTTGCTCACAGGATGAGTGGTGGTGCTACACCTGGCTAAATGCAAACCCAGAGCTCATGGAGGCTGACTGATGCTTGGAAAGAAAGCAAACACAAAGGGAATTCAACACTCCTGACTACCCAGAAAAGAGCAACAACATGGAGATGCAGGTTAAAGAAAACAGGGTTTGATCTTTCACCTCTTTTGAAGGTCAAAGGCATAAGCTGCTCCAGAGGCCTGCAAGGATTGCAAGGGGCCCAAGAGCAAGAGCTGTGAGCATTGTCTGACAGCAACTGCTTGGGTGATGAGCTTCAGCAGAAACATTTTAAGGCAAGGATTGAGCTTCCAACATAAAGGACTCATAGAAATGTCAAGTTGTTCACTGTGCGACTTTTAACACGGCAGAAGAACCACTTGTATGAGACCCAGAAATATGGAAATCTTAAGAAATGCTGTAATATTCTGTTTTCAAGATTTTTACAAAGCAGTCTTCAGCAGTGTAAAGGAGACAGAACATGCCCTGAAGTGACAATGAAATCTTGAACCTGAAGATGTCAGGAAGCAAAGAACTGGAAAAAAAGAAGTGAAGTGAAAAAGGGGTTGAAAGCATGTCCTATAGTGAACTGCCAAGGCAACCAAGTTTCCTAATTGCTCCAAAAATCTGCATGTACATATGAACAATTACTGATGGGAACAAATGACTCCGTCCCTCAGCCCAGAAGTGTCTAAAGTGCAGCAAAAGCACAAAGCATCAGACTTAAGGCACTAAAAGTCTGGCATTTAAAAAAGCCCCAAACCCAACAAACTTGTACTTTATCAGCGCAGCAAATAAATTTAAAAAGCACTCAGAAAGCAAACAGTTCAGGGAGAAACACTCAAATGAGGAAGACAGTAACATTTAGACACAACCTGTTTAAGATCATTAAACTGTCTTAGGTTCCTGAAGTCTGTCTCCTACCACTGTATTTTCTTGTTCTGAGTTGCAGGGGAGCTACACAGCACTTGGACCTTTTCACATGAACATCAGTGATTACCTAATTTAATTTTATATATTTTTAAAGCAGAGAAAACATAATTGTGTATCAGAACCCTCACAGTTGTATGCTACAAACACAGCTTCTTTCTCAAGATCTCTGCACAAAACATTTTCCTCCAGCAACTCTCCTTGAGTCACCGTCTATGAAACAGGAAAGCCATCAAAATTGGCTTTGGCTGGATCAGCTTTTGAGAGGAAGCCACCGACCAGAAAACAAGATGACTTTTGTTCCTTACCTGTAACGTTTTCCCCAGGCCCATACAGTGGGCAAGAATGCATCCAGAACCAGGAGATGTCTTTGTTTTTTTTACAGATTCACAACAGCAATCCCACATGAACTGAACACCTGAAGAAAATTATTGAAAGTTCTTATTAAACATTCATTTGAACGAAGTTCACCCTACAAGAAACAGGTGTGCTCAATTAAAGATCATGGTGACGCTTAGAAAAGCAGATGTTAGGATAATTATTGATTCATTTCTGTCCAGTGAGTTGTTAAGTGGGGTGATCTTTGTCTTGAACTTGATTATAATCACAGTTTCACTGAGGATGTTGCAATTGGGTAAGAAAATATTACTGTAAGGACTGCAGATGATTGGGGACAGGGAGAAAAGAGGAAACATTCTGGTATCTGCCTGCCAAGGAGTTTTTCTTGTGATTCTAATCCAGGATGCATAAGGTGCTATGCCCTTGGAGAGAAAAAAAAATTATTTTTTTTTAATCTCTCTTTCCTTACCATCTACTTGGTGTGGTTTCAGTCTGGTAACTATACTCCTGTGAACCTGCACCAATGGTTCTTTGGTTTCCTCATCTTCATCTAAAACCAGCTTAGTTGTAATGGGACATTTCAGAGGTGAAGCATCTTCTATCTCTATCACCTAAAAACAGAAACAGGGCATTAGAGGAATACTTCTCACAGGATTAATACCAAGCACTCGAGAGACACTAGATTTAACAAACTGGGAGTCATAATTTATTAAGTAAAGAGAAATCTTCAATTCTTTACTATGCACCACAACTCCTGCAGAGTGCTTTTCCCTACGAAAAGTGAACCAGTAGGGAATGGAAACAGCTTTCTAAAGCTCACAGTAGTCAAATAAAACTCACCAATGTTAACCCAAAGGAAACTGCAAATAAAACTTGTGGCTTACAAGGCTGCATGTAAGCAGTTTTCAAACGACTTATCAGATTAAATTCAGGTAGAAATATATGTCTTAGACATCATCAGTTCCACCTCCCAGCATTTCACAAAGCAAACAGACCATACCTCTCTCAATTTGTCTCTCTCCCGTTCTCTCTCTGCTATACGTTTTCTTCTTTCTTCTTCTTCTTTAAGTGCATTCTGGGTTTCTGTTCTAAGCTTATCGTCTTTAATAATTTTCCTTATTTTCTTCCTGCCTTTTCCAGGAGATTTTGAATCATCATTGTCCTCATTCTCAGAATTACTCTGTTAGAAATTAAATAAAGTGTATACTAGCAAGAAAATTACAGCACAGACCATCAAAACCTTCATTCTTAGACAAGCCCCAAAAAATTCTTATAAACACAGGTGAAGTTAGGCTAATAAGAAAAAAGGTACCTTTTTTAAAAGTTAGGCAGCATGACAAAAGTGCCACCTTAACTGTAATGTACTCTGAGATATTAAAGACAAGCCCAGCTGTGCCAAGGCAGTATTGAAGGCACTGTTATCATTTACTATTAGTTAATAATAATTAATAAAGAATTATTTTTCTATTACAGTGGTGCTAGATCAGATCAGCTGTTACCTGCTCCACACAGGAAAAGAAACCCTAGTAGTACTAAACCCCTAATCTACTATTTGTCTGGTTTATATTTAGACTAAAAAATCCATTTATTTAAACATCATGGATTTTTCTCAAGATCTAGACAGGAAAAGTTAATGGTGCCATTTTACAAATTTTAGCCTGAATTAACACTGAAGAGTTGTAATTTTTTACTGTATTTAGTGCAAAGCTGTTTGAGATACCCAAGTCCCTGAGCAGTGGACAAGAGAGACAGGAACTCCTCTTCCCATTTATTACTTCAAAACACCACGTGATACCTTATTGTCATTCTCACTTGATGAATCCTCTTGAACCCTTATTCGCCTTCGTTTCTTCTTCTGTTTGTAACTGCGCTGGTTTTCTTCTGCCTCAGCTTTCTTGGCAGATCTATTCAAAAATGGCAATATTACTGACTAACAATAATAATTGTTGCTAACTAGCAGAATATGCACTCCTTTTGTGCAGTTTCAAGTTCCCTCCTCCCTCCCCCTCAGCTCACTGGACACACAGCAATGGTCTATCCCAGAAAACCCTACAGAATCTCAGAATTGTTAAGCATTAGTTTTTTACTGCAATCCACCATCCCTTACTTGACAGTGATGTATTTGGCATAAAAATGTTCATTTTTTTCTTAATCCTTTTTTATACTGGCTCATCAAGTTGTTGTGTACTCCCTCCTGCAGCACCAATTCACAATTCCCACGTTTGCCATGAAATTAATTAGCAGATACCGAATTACAAACAAGTCTCATCAAGGGTTTTAAGAACCAATCCAAAGTCTTTAACTCTTACCACGTCCCTGCCTAAACTGCAGCCTTAAAAACCAAAACCCAAACTCAGGATAAGCAGAGTTTTATTTATACCTTGTCCTTGGACGTTGGTCATCTTCAGACTCACTGATTTCTTCGCTCACTGCAGACTCGTGGAACTCGGAGTCATTGGAATCGTCGCTGCTCACTTGAAAAATAAAACACGATTTCACGTGGAGCATCACTGCAAAGTCAGCAGCTTCTAATTGTTCAACAAATTGTTCAAGACCAACAAGCACTGACAAGGTTCATTTCAGACAATATCAGACCCACTAAGCACAGTAATAAGAAGTAAGAGGAATGTAAGGGGTACAGAGTAGAAAAGCTCAATATTGAAGCTGAATCCTGGGAGATGGTGCATTATGCCAACGAGACTTGAGGTCTTTATGCATGAATATATCTACATACAGTTTACAGGCAAATGACAAAGTATTATATCAGAAGATAAAAACTGTGGGTGAGGAGGAGAGACCACAGTGGGAAGAGTAGAACTGCAGAAAACAGAAGATGATTCTTGGTTAAACAGAAGCTTTTGTTTCAAATGTTTTAGATGTCATTTCATAATCACACTTCATGAAAACAACCCTTATTTACTAACAACATATGCAATGGCATTGCTGCATTTATGGCCTGACATTTCTTCAAGTAATGCAAGTTCAAAACTCACTCAAAAGGCAATTAAAATTACACCTAAACTAGCACTATTAGGCAATACTCTAATAGCTAGTTTTAGGAGCTATCACTGGCATTGAAAAAGGTAATTAAGACACCAGAATGCCATTTAGCACCTTTAATTTCAGTTTGACCTTGAACAGTGGAAAGTTTAACTTGGTTATGAATAACAAGGCTTAAAACCTGGGGCTTACATACTTGGGGAAATGTAACATCAATAACATAGGGATAAAAGGACAAGGTGAAATACAGTGTATTGCTCTACTTAAAGGTAGTGAACTTAAAAGGCTGACACTAAAGTACTCTGAGAATCAGCCTGGTTGCATCTTATTTGCACACTGCCACTGTAATTTACAGTTACTTCTCCTGAAAGAAATGTTGTCAGTAATTCCACAAGGGAGGAAAAGCACAAACCAGATAAAAATGACAGTTTTCATGAAGGAAAATGCTAAACAAATCACAACTGTTATTCTGTGGAAGCCCACAAAAGCTGGCTGGCATTAGTGCAACACCCAGGACAGGAAGGTCCAGGGCACTTTTCCTGGCCGTGGGACACTGTCAACACCTGAGGGACTCTTTGTTCCTGCCTGCAGAAATGCAAACCAAAGCCCCAGGCAAGGCTCATCTCACAGTGCCATCTGCTGCTCAGCTACAGCCTGCAACACTGCAATTCCAGCATGGAGAGGTTCCTCACGCTCCAGGGCCAAGGGGAAGAGAGGAAGTACAGAAAGGACAGGACTGATTTCCCCAGCTTGCCTCTGCTCTTTCAGACAAGTATTCTAAGATTCCACAAGATTAATCCAATTCAGAGGACAGAGGAAGGGGAAAGAGCTGCACCTGTATTCAACATTTCAAATAAAACTGTTTATTAATCAAAGATATGAGAATCCTAGATTTCACACACAAGGAAGTTTACACAGATTTTAAAATCACAGTTTGAGATCTCAGTTCTGAAAAGCCTTGGACTTATTTTATAGAAGCAAATACTTTTTATGACAAAAAAGGTCTGGATTATGTACCTTTCCTTCTATTTCTACGCTTCCCCCCTTCTTTTTTGTCTTTTGGTTTCACCACCTTTTTGTCTTCACCAGATTCCCCATCACTCATGGTGAGCTTGTGCCTCAGCAGCCTGTGTCTGTATCTGGGCTTCTTGGATGATTCTTCTTCCTCTGAATCCGATTCAGAGTTACTTTCTTCCTTTACAGACTTGTTATCTTCCTTTTCATTCTCTCCTGTCAGATATAAGAGTCAGTACCACATACACACCGGTCATCTTTTTTTCCTGACTTAAATTTAGCAAGAATTGAAATCTGAATTAACTTAGGCTAAATTTTGTGGTTTTCCAGGGCATTACAAGCAACAACATACCAGTTTCCCCAAACGTTAAGTATTTTATGCCGCCTGAATGTTTGAAATGCCTGTTTCAATGACTGTTAGCCAAATCTCTCCTGTGCACTTGCAGAACTTATTGTTCTGTATAGGTTACTCCTCACAAATCCCTAGCACTTCTAAATGGATTACAAAAGCCAGACTAGTAGCAAAAAAATAAACATATGAAAGACTGAAAGAGATGATAATCCTCATGACCACATACACTGGCCCCTCTTTGGCAACCACCCATCAACACCAATGACATTTTTTTGCTGAAAACTGAAGAAACTTAAGCAATTATAATTTTCCCAAGTGACCTTTGAAATCATGACAGGCGCCACAGCAGCACTTTTTCCCAGCTGCTTTTGGGTGCTTACCATCATCTCCAGTGTTCTCAGTCTGCTTTGCAGGTTTCTTTTTTCCTTCCTCCGGCTCTTCATCTGAAGATGTATCCTCATCAGAGGAAAGATTGGCTTTGATTTCTTCTAAAAGCATTTTCTTGGCAATTCTTTGAAGTAAAACAGAAAACACTATTTATTCCATTGTTCAAGTAAATCTATGAATGACAAGTGTAACCCTACACCATTCAGAACTTCAAAAAAAGGGCTGAAAGCTGAACAAAAAAAAAAAAGACATGATGAAAAGTCATTGTGGCAAGACAGGATATATCAGCAAAAATCTCATGTTAAATGTAACGTGCTGACTTGCTTTTAGAAAGCAGATTCATATAATGCCTCTTAAGAGAGAAGTTTCCTGCTTTACAGGAAGACTGGAGAGAAATGTAAAATGTATGAACGTAGAGATTTCATTTTATTCACAGTCTATTTGGATAACTAACTACAAGCACTTGCCTTAGAGCAACTGGACAAAAAGCCTTTTGTGTATACACCCCCCCCCCCAAAAGTTTCACCAACATCACAGGACCTGAATTTCACAGAAAAATTATTATTTCCTGCTCCACACACTGTCCACTCAGCTTCCCATTGTTTCATTGCAGCACAAGAATGTTTCCAGCTAATGTACAAGTGACTATGGAAAAATTCTTTCTTTACATGCAACATAATCTTGTCTGAATCTAAGGCAGAATATAAAATGATACGTCAAAAACACAGGGAAATAGTGGAGTTATCTGAGAACTTGTATTTCCAGGGGAAAAAATAATCCTAAAAGAACTAAACCAGGTCTTCCTACATAAACATCAGAAATACTAGAGGTTTCATTCTAGGGTCATCACTTTTAAATGAAATACTTTTTTTTCTAGGTCAAACCTCGTCTGTCTTGCCTTTTGGCAGAATTAATGTATACTGCAGGTACACAGTTCAGAACTGGAAAGATTTTATACCACTCAAAACAACAGTTCAAACCCCATGGAACTGAACCACAAACTGAGCTTCACTTGGAAAAGGCAAAGGAATAGGAATCTCTCCAGTAAAGCTCCTTATACAACAGAAATTAAGTTGTTACTTTTATAGAGCACTATAAACTAGGTTTTAACAATCAGTATTTCATTTTTCCAGCATGTAATGTTTCCCTAAAGCAAAAGAACCTTTCAAAGAGAATTTTCCCAAGGTATCTTTCCTGACATTCCAAGCGGTATTTTCTGGGGTTTGAGTGGTTCCAAAAAGATTCTCACACTAATGTATATTCAGTAATTATTAAAAGATGGAAGCAAAATAGTTTAATAGACATTTAAGATTGTTCAGTGAGCCAGACAGTCCACCAGCATCCAAAACACACCCTCCTCCTCTTTTGAGAGATGGCTTGTGAAGAAAAAGCTGATTAAAACTTCACCATACAGAACCCTTGGTGAGCTTTAATTCCATATATATCAACAGATCACAGTGTGAACTCAACAAAAACTTACTAAAGTCCATAGATAAGTAACATCCTCTTCCAAATGCTTTTTGCATTAGGTCCTTCCAGAGGATTTGGAAAAGGGACTTGGGGCTTGGTTAGTTTGGGTTGTTTCTTTTTTTAAAACCCGCCATGTCATATGTAACAGCAACAGAAATAAATAGCTCCTTATATAACAGATTCAGCCTATATTTCTTCCATCTCTTAATGGTCAGAACTTTTCCTTCATAATGAAATGGCTTAGAATATCACCAAAGTTTTGGAAAAGGGGAAAAAAACAATGAGAAACACTAAAAAGAACTGAAAAAAATTAAAATTGAATCCTGAAAGTCCTGCCTGGTAACACTGCCTCTGACTGGTCTCACGTGAATTAGCAAAGTTCACACAACTTGTATGTGGTTGGCAATACTTACCTCTACACAAATCACCTTTAAAAGGCTGACTTTAGGTCTTAAGAAAACAAGACACACACTTTTATCTGTTCTTTCATGAAGTGGTTTTTAAAGGGGAAAAAGAAAACCCTAAGCAAATGTATCTAACACCTAAAAATACCATGCATAAAATCTACCATCCATGAACAGAAGATATTGTGATTTTCCCATTAATCATCATAACCACCAATTGGATTGGGTAAACTTATTAGTTTCTAATTATATACAGTAATATTGATTAAGAAGTTATTTTTGACGTAGAAACTCAGTCCTATTTTTTATCTAGGATAAAGACTCAACCACTTGGAATCAAATTGAGATGGGACTGTTTGTTAGTGAGAAAAGCTACATTCTCTTCAATGCATTTACTGTTGGACTAAAAATATAAGACGTTATTAAGATGTTCAAAATTTAAAAGATGCCTGTTTTTAATTAACTACGTATCTGATAGGAATTACAAGTGCAAGCAATATCAGACCCAACCAGATTAAGCCTTGTAAATGTATCTGACAAATGACTGATGTAACAAATGGCTCATATGAACTGGAATACCTTGAGCACTGTACTCTTGAAACTGGTTTTAAATTAAATTACAATGTATGCTGACCAGGATAATACATCTTATTTCTTTTTTAAGATAAAACCCATTTAAAGTGACCAGGTTTCTAAGCTAAGGAACTTCACATGCTAGTTTAATATTTGAATATTTTCATTAACAGCAGCAAGAAAAACAAGCTATGGTAGTGTGAAACTCTCTTGCTCACATTCTTCCAGAGAAACCCACACAAATCCAAAGGGACCATAATATTTACTTGGGTTAAGGACATAAAAGATTCTTGGCCAACCAGATGTAACAGCTGAACTCTATCAATAAATTTATTAAGAGGCACAGAGTCATATGACCTCCAGCACAGGACTTGAGGTAGTAAAAACCAAAATACATTTAAAAAATCCCTGCATTTCGTTTATTATCTCTGTGACCTCGAGCACGTGGTGTTGCCCCACTCCATGTTACCTAAACTGTGAGGTTTGGATGAAGGGCACTTCCCCAAGGTATTTACACAGTGCCTCACAGAACGGGGCTGGAATCTCAACCAAGATGCATAAAAACAACTCAAAAATAAAATGATAGTATATAGGCACAGTTTTATATAAATCGGGATTTAAATATATTTCCCCTTTGTTGGCGTGTAAGAACAACACCAACAAAACACATTTCTAAGGAATGAATTGATTACTATGTATTTTCAAGTTATGCCAAAAGAAAAGAGTTTTCCCAAGAGACAGGCAAACTGGAAGTTACTCAGGGGTTGCTTAGTTACACTGTAGGACTACTTTAAATTATCCTTCAGACATTGCAGCAAAACTGGAATAGCAGGTGCAGCCTCTCATGATGGGGAGTTAAGTCCACATGGTAATTTGCACCATTCTTGCTCATGAATTTTAGAGTGCCAATACAATGGACTCATTTAGAGTTAGTTAAAATCTTGGTGAGCCAATGCTACCACTGTAAAAAGCATTTTTCTTAAAAAGTCATGACTTTAAATTAGTCCGTTATCACGATGTATTATTACCAGTTAGATCATATCAACTCACAGGCAGAGTTCATAAATACCTATGAATTATATGTAGAAATAATGCCCAAAACAAGCCCTTGGGCGGGGGAGGAGGTTTGTGTGTGGCTAATAAAAGCCACCACAATTCCAGCTACAGTACTACTGAATTAAATGGGCCTTTGGGGTATTACTAGAAAATTCAAAACCCTTTAAAATAGATTTTTAGAGATTAATACTTGGATGAAATGTCATACATGTCTAAAAAATGAGTGAAAACTGCCAAACACCTTGTTCTAAATACTGTGCTGTCTTTGTTGGAAGAGGCTGATTTTCAAGCTGTCAGAGTTGTATTAAATTAAATGCTTGGACAAGAAAAATGTTTTACAAAAATTTATTGTAACCATCAAATACTTAAAAGCATTCTGCATTAAATACACTAATTACTTCTTATTAAACAGAACTACTGCAAACATATCAAACAGTACCATTTAAAAGATCAGAAGGACCAATAATAGTTACACAACAGAAGATGAAAGCATACAGCACTATATGGCATAGTATGACCCACTTGGATATTGCATTTTGGCAAAAATTATTTCAAGACTATTAATATTCATGTCATGCACATCCCCAGGTATGCAAATAACAGAACATCTAAACTAGAGACTTGCAAACAGGAGAGTTCCCACACTACAAACACCCAGCAGGTACTATGTACCCTCTTTGGCCTGGAAGAAAATAGGCAACTTCTCTGAATCAGTAGGTAAACTACTTAAACACTTTGTGTTGAGTAAACAGAAGAACAAGTTTTTAACTTCTTGAAATTTGTTCCATCTTTTTACATTTTATATCTCTGATTCTGGTGCCAAGTACAACACATGATTAATGTAAAATCAGACTGCAGTTACCAGTTAACATGTCTGAAGGTTGACAACACTGTTTATTGACAAAATACCTCCCCATCTCATAAATATATATTCAAAATATCCCCTAAAGAAAAATTTAACAAAGAGGCAGCTTAAAAACAAAGTACAGAAAGTGATTTTTAAAGCCCAAATTTATATTACTGAGTTGTTAGCAATTAATTCTTTTCCCAATATAGCTCTTAAACTAATAATTAAGATCTGTCAAAAACATTTGTAGGAGAAATACTGAACTTCTGACAAAAGTGTCTCAGTTTAGTTATCAACCAGAAACTCACCAAAAAAAAAAAAAAGAAAAAAGAAAAAAAGGGAAAAAAATAATCAAAACAGGACTGAAATTATAGTTTAAAAAAATCTTGATATTACCAAAGTTTAAATGTTCTGCTTATGACCCTGTGCTGTCAAGTCCCTAAAAAGCGTCTTTCTTTAAAAGCTGAATTACTTGATTAAATTTCATGACTGAAAACAAGCAAGAACTAATTCAGCAGCAGCATTTTGATGCCAAACTGAGGTCCGTAAAGGATATAAAACAGTGTTTTTAAAATTTACTTTAGCCACATATCAAAACATACAACTCTGTGAAACAAAGATTCCATATTCTAAACTATTAAGGCTCAGAAGCAGAAAAAGACTCCATCAGCAACTGTGCAAAGCTGGTCCCACACATGCTATATGGCCAAAAATTAAAATCAGTTTCTGAAATACTGTATAAAACTTTGCTGAACAACTCTTCAGTCTAACTACAATAACTTCCAAAAAGAACCTGTGGCTCGGAACTGAGCAATGCTTCATGTTGTGCATTTACTCATTAGGAAACACAGCTTTTACGTTTCTAGCCAGGCTAATTTTGATAGCTACAATGATTCTGGTAAAATATGACATGTCTTAACTAACTGTATCTTACAGAGGTTCACTTTTATTGAATTTGAAACTGAAGCAATACATATAAGCCACGATTCTGAAAATATCTATGCAAAGACTTAAAATATATGTGTATAGTTAGTCTCTTTGATACCAGTGGAGCCTATGCACAGTGCTTGTAGAATCAGGGCCTTAATTGTCACATTAGTCACTCCAGGTACTCTTTAGTGGATTAGAACTCAGCTGAATTAACTGAGTTAATTCATTACTGACAATTAACATTAGCTGAAAATATCTAATACTGTTTTCCCCACATTTGTGTTTTCTCTTTATTGGGAAAAGGCATTTCAATTAAAAAAGCATATTAAGTAACAGTAATAACCAAATTAATTTTGAAAATATTGCAGCACTGCATATTGCACAGATGCAAACTGTCACCTTCTATTCAAAGAACTAGCTGAAATTCACATTTCTCAGCAGCAGCTTTTTACCTGCCTGAAAGAAACACTTGTCACAAAGCCCCACACTTCCAACAGGAGCACAGCCCGGCCAGTGCCGCAGAGCATTTACAACACACCCTACGCCAGGGGTGTTAACTAAGGCTCCTAAAGACTTGCTTTGCATTTCTGGGCTTTGGCCTCTGTTTTCTGGCCCCGTGTTCAGGCTTGCGGGAGGCCTGGGAGCGAGTCTGTACAGGGCAGGCAGCCGTGGTTTTTACAACCTGCTTGCTCTTCCGTTGCGCCGCTTTGCGCCCACGCCTAGGGTGTGTTATAATCGAGTTTAAGTCCTTACAGATGGTATCATACCTATTCTCAGGGTCGTCATCATCATCATCTTCCTCCTCCTCCATTGGAATAGTCCTTGATAGAGCCTCTCCCTCATCTCCTGAAAAACAACCGGACAGAAAACACTTAACGCAAGTAAACCCGGCAATGAACAATAACACACGACAGCACAACAAACACTAGAGCGCATCAACTACACCTCCACCAACAATCTCCATTAAAAATAGCTTGGTAATACCACTTTTCTATCAGTTACCTACCTTGACATATAAGGGGAGGGGAATAGGAGAGCTGGGAATAATAATGAGATAAGAATCAGAGGGATTCCTAAGAGGGACGGGCTTATGAATTGGTCGAAGAAGCTTAGGTTCATGGTCAGTCTCAGGAAGGGGTTTTTATAGTAGAAAGTATTTTGTTGGAGGGTGAGTTTGTTGAAGTAAATAATAAAAGCTTAGGTTGAAGGATGAGAGAAAAAGTAAATCATGAAACTAGTATGATGAAAAGTCATGGGGCTGGATTTAACTGAGGCATGTCATTAAGGAAGATAGGTAATCTTCTTTCTTTAGCTTAAAAGGCTAATGCTGGTTCATAGCTTCTTAATGATTAAGATATTAATACAGTATCTAGTTTTTCAAAAAGCACTTCTATCCACATTATGCTCGCTACTACACACAGCTTGCAACTCTTGCCTTGTTACACACTGTGAATTGGGTTTTTTACACCAAAACCTGAGTACTCCACCCAGGAGCCAGAAATTAAGTTTCCCAAGAAGTTATTTGCTCTATCAGAATCTCCACTACTGACTTTGGGTAAATTGAAAAGGCAGCAGGAATACACTACAGAATTGCTTGTCGAGCCCATGGGCTGCCCTGCTGCCATGAGAAAGCACTGGAGAACACGAATCCTTATCTCCATTTGCTTTCAGAGTACATGTGTGTGTGTTTAAAGAGGTATGTTTTGAGAATTCCACGTGCTATCCTGACTGTAAATATCCAAACTCAGCTGCACTACATGGCACTGTCTCATATGGAAAGGACATGAAAATCAACAGTGTGGGACATGGAGCAAAGAACAGCCCAGGATGGCACCCGCCTTAAAGCTCCTCTGCGCTCTCCTGGCTGGACACAGAGGAATTCAAATTATTTCTAGCACATTCCCAGGCCTCTACCCTTGCTTTTCTCTTGTTCTTCTGACTTGCATATAAGTCAGACAAATCTGCTAGTTAGTAAAATTAAGCTAAGGAAAAGAAAGCTCACAATCCTAACTAGCTGAGATCCCCTCATTTATAACCTCTACTGCTTATTTGCCACCTGTGTGGACTGGACTAAAACCAGGCTGTGAGAAGCTACTCCGAGTTGTTTTAAGGTACACCTGTCCTGGAAACAGCATTACCCAGATGCCATCTGACAGGACTGTCTAAGAGGTGATTCCAGGACATATCTCATTTAGGTAAAAGCATCCTGGTGATCAAACCAGATTCTAAGTCTCATTCGATGATTGATCTATGCAGTTTGTTCAGAAACAGAAGAGACTCCTTTATTAATTCACTTATCACATGTCTCCTCTTAAAATAATCTAACATAGGCAGGATTTCATGGAATCAAACTCAGGTTGGAAAAGACCTCTGGACACGACTTCAACTCCCTCCTAAAAGCAAAGCTAACTGCCAAATAAGATCAGTTTTTTCAGGGCCTTGGGCAATCAAGTTTTGAGCATTTCCAAGGACAGGGATTCCAAAGTTGGACAAGGCAACCGGTGTCAAGTTTTGATCATGGTCAATGTATAAATTACTTTTGCTAGTACCTCTATCAGTTTTCTTTGCTAAATCCTGTATCCACTGCCTCATCCTCTCAGCACACATCCAGCTCAGCCTTCCCTAAAACTGCCCATTAGGTGATTTGCAGGCAGCAATTTAGACTTCCCATTTTTAGCATTCTCTCTCCAGTCTAAACCAACCCATTTCTCTCTGTCTAACTCTACTGCCCACATCACCATCTCGTTTTTCCAATTTGTACACTGCTACCCTTCTCTCCAATAATTATCCAATCCTTCCACTTGTGACTTGCAAATTAAACAATTGCTCCCACTGCCTCAGAGACCTTCTGATATATTACAACCAACCTTTTCCCCACGGGCCATTTCAATATCAAGTCTGTGAACATAAACTGTACACAAGCAATCTCATTTTTAAGGTACTTTTCTTTGATGGTTCAGTGATGCTGAGAACTCTCAGAGTACCATTAATTGTCTGTCTCTGGGAGAGTTTTAACAGCCATGACAGTTACTACACACAAAAAGCCAGTTCATTACTACGTGAACTATTAATTATTTGCAATCTCCCCCAGCAGTGGCATCACTGGGGAAAACAATGATAAGGCAGCACTCAAGGAAAAGCCCTAAAAGTCCCAGTACTATATGCAGAGACACAACTAAACCTACTTCATTGGAAGGCCTTGAAAAATAAACATTACAGGGCTGTGTAAAACGCAGGACAAGAAACTTATTTTCCAACTGCTACTCAAGGATAATGCAAAACACCATGAACCAAACTTTGCTTGGGCTCTAAATCTAAAGCAGCACAGCACTTAGAAAAGCAGCCTTTGCATCTGCAAAGATGAACAACTCTCTCCCGAAACTGAACTGCAGGAAAACTTCAGGAAGAAGTTGATTACCATCAAGCTGGCAGGAGAAATCTGATGGTTTCAGGGTTTTTTAGGGGTGAGGCTTTTTGTTTAAGACGTTACAAATAACAATAATTTCATTTTGTACCTAGTATCTGCCTACAAGTATTTTCTTGAAAAGTCAAAATATAGCTGTGTCCCTTCTGCTGTCTTACCACAGAATCATGGAATCCCAGAATGGTTTGGGTTGGAAGGGACCTTTAAGCTCAGGGACACCTTCCACTAGCCCAGGTTGCTCCAAGCCCCATCCAACCTGGCCTTGGACACTTCCAGGGATCCAGGGGCAGCCACAGCTTCTCTGGGCAACCTGTGCCAGGGCCTCACCAACCTCATACCAAAGAATTTCTTCCTAATATCTAATCTAAACCTACCCTCAGTTTGAAGCCATTCCCCCTTGTATCTTCATAAAGATACTGTAGTTTTATTCACTTTTAGTTTAGCTGCAGCTTTGCAAACAACTGTATCTGAGCCAACAGTTAAAGTTCACAGAAAGTTCTGTGAAACATAATTAGAAGAAAAAGAAACTGAACAGTTTACCTGCCATGCTAATTAAAACAGCAAATATTTTTCCTAGTTGAAAATTCATTCATTAAAAACATGTCTACTGTCTGTGTAATGTGAAAACTGCTTTCTTAAGTTCTTTAAAACTACGTATTGGAACCCAGCAGTTCTGAGTTTTCTAAATTTACCACATCTTCAGGACACTGACAAAGTAATTCTGCCTTGGCAAGGAAAATAATTATTACTCTTAAACCTACTATGAAAACAATAAGCAATGACAGATTTCTGTAAGTGACATCAGCTCTTCTAAGGCTACATGGCTCTTGTGAGGCACAAAAATCATCTCCTTGATTTTTAAATGTGTCCTGCAATGCCAAAGGTCTTCAGAGTCATCTCCAGTGCATAACCAGGAGGTGACAAACCTGAGTTCCCTGGGTTATCTACTCCTTTAATCCAGCTTCTGCTAAAGCAGTCCCTGGCAGGCAAAGCAAGTACTGGGCTTTGGAAAGCCGAGCTCCAAAGCAATACCTGCTGCAACTACAGACTGGAGCTTCTCAAGCCTCTCCATTTACAGTGACATCCTCAAGGGTCAAGCTGCACAAACTGAAATAATGTAATTTTAGAATCACAGGATAGTCTGGGTTGAAAAGGAACTTTAAAACAGGTGCTTCCAAACCAGTATCAGAAAACCTAACTGCCTGCAAATATTTAAATGGGTAATTACCAACTGACGAATATTTTTCACTTCTAGATTATTAAATGTTACCCAAACCTTACAGAATTCCTCTATTAATATATTAATAACAGGTGTACACGAACACCTTTTGCACACCTGATGACTGACAGAATCCTGCACCAGCAGACAGCATCAAGCTCTCAGTCACTGGCCTGATCTTCTGCTCGTCGCTGCTTCCATCGCCGCTGGAATTCTGCTCATCGTTTTCCTCCTTATCCGATGAGGAAGAGGAAGTGACAACCACCTTCTTTTTTGACACTTTCTTTTTTAAGCTACTCCTTTTACTTTCTTTCATTGACCCTCTTTTAGTCTTTTTCTTACTGTCTTCATAAGACTCCTCATCAGAAGAGGATGAATCATTCTGTTCCTTTTTGGAAATTTTCTTTTTGTGACTTATTTTTTTCTTCTCTTTAGTTTCAGTTCGTTTTTTACGCTGCGTGGCATCCTCAGAAGAACTCTCCTCTTTTTGGGGAGATTTCTCAGTATCAGAGGATAAATCAATGTGTACTCTTTTAGCTACTCTCTCTCTCAAATTCCTCTTTTCTGTAAATACAGGTTCCTTTTTAATTTTGTCGTTTTCAGAAGAATTGCAACTTCCTTTCTCTGGAGAGGACTTCTCACCATCAGATGAGGAATCATCTTGCTCTTTCTTGAAACTTTTCTTTTTCAATTTTTCAGATTTCTTCGCTTTGTTTTCTGATCCTTTCTTGTTCTTGAGTCTGTCCTTTGAAGACTCAAACTTGTGCTCTTTCTTTGCAGATTTCTCAGTACTCTCTGAAGAAGAATCTTCTTGTGCCTTTTTCTTTTTCAAATCCTTGTTTTTGTTACCTTCAGGAGCACTTTCCTCTTTCTCCAGTGAAGACTTCTCAACATCAGAATACTCATCATGTTTGCCCTTTGTGGATTTTTCTTTTGAGTCCCTGTTTATCTTCTCCTTAGCAGACGACCTCCTACCCACTTTTTTATCTTTAGAAGAATGGTTCATTTCCTTCTCTGGGGAAGACTTTTCAACATCATCATCATCTTCAGAAGATTTACCTTTCTTTTTCTTCCGATTTACCTTTCTTTTACTGCTTACTTTCTTCCTCTGCTCTTCTTCAGAGGAATCGTAACTATCCTCTTTTTGTGAATATTTTTTCTTCGGCTTTTTTGCAGCCTCAATTTTACTCAACATTTTTATCTCTTTTTCTAACTCAGAATCATAGTTTGAAGAATCCGAATAGTTTTGTCGCTTCTTTTTAGCGGTGGCGGCGTTTTTAGCTGATTTGCCTCTTTTAGCATCTAAATCTGAACCAGAACTGGAACTTTTTCTTTTTCGTTTTCCATTTTCGTCCTTTACCGGTTGATTCTTCTGAAAACCTGAAGTCTTCTGATCATTTGCTGGCGCTTCACTATTGCTGTCAATGTCCGAGGAGCTGCGACTCATCATTCCTGCCTCTTTAAGAACAGCTGGCATCTCATCAGAATCCGAGCTCTGATCCACAACACATGGCTTCTTGGATTCAGAGAGGTTATCGGGGCTGGGGCCATCAGCAGCACTGTCAGAAGGATTTCTCTTGTCGTTTTTCCTCTGGGGCTGTTTGGCTGGTTTTCCCTTGCGTTTCTCACTGCTCATGTCGTTGCTCTCCTCCTCCGAGTTGGATGTCAGAGGGCTCATGTCCGTGGGGCGCCTCAGCGGGGTGGTTTTCACGCGCGGGGACCTCCGGAGATCAGACTCCTCCACAGGCACGGCCTCGTTCTCCGGGGAGGGTTCACTGCCAGCACTGTGATTTTGTTTCGCAGGATCACAGTTTTCTGCTTTAGGTTTTGCATCAACACTTTTATTTTCCTTTTCTAATCTGTTGTCTCGATCTTCAGCTTTAACTGTAGCCTCCGAGAGGGAAACAGGAGTCAATTTTACAACCAATTCTTTTGTTCCTTTAGCCGATGATTTTAACTTGGTGCTACCTTTGGCATCTTTCACAGGAGCGTTCAATTTTGTATTTGAATTTAGAGCCTCATGATCTGTTCCTGTATTTCCACTCTCCTGCTCATCTGATGGCATCTGAATCTCCATAGCAGATTCTAGAGTCTCAAAAATGTCCTCAGGAACAGATGAGGGAATGGACACTATATCCATGTCCAAGGCCTCTGTACTGTTCGGTTCATACTGAGGTTCTTCATTTCTGCCAGACTTTTTCTCTTCCCCAGAAGTAGGTTTGTTATCAGTCTGTTCCACTGTGGGAACACTTTGATCCATGGGCTCACTGTCAGGCTGTTCTGATACAACCTTTTTCGGCGTCTGTAGAGTGTCATCCTCTTTTAATGCCACATGTTCCTTTCCTTCATCTTTTTTCACCTCATTTTTTTCAGATCTAACCTCAGTTTTTTTCTCTTTGGTATTTTTGTCTTTGATTTTAACATTCAATGCTTGAATCTCCAGGTTCAGACCTTCTTCTAGTGCCAGATGAGCTTTTTTCATGTCACTCAGCACAGATTTAAAAGCCTTCAGCTGACACAGTTGCACAGTTGGGCTTATTTCTACATTTTCTGCAGCGTTTTTCAAAAAGCTTACAAAGCTAGAATTGAGATTTGTTGTAGTTTCAACCAGCTTTTTTGTTTTCTTAAGCAAGTCTTTTGGCACCATTAGTGCTTTATAAGAATATGTTAGTGAACCTGAATATGAATTATCTAGTTTTTTTTCTTCACCATTACAGTTTGCACTATTTCTCTTTGGAGAAAACTTGACTGTGTGGTCGTATATTTTACTTTTTTCACTTTCAACTTTGATCTTTTTTTTGTTTTGTTGAAGTAACTGTTCTAAATTTTCAAAGACACTGTCACAGGCAGTGACCAAGTCCAATAAAGGCTCTGGATGGCAAATATAGCAGTGCCACTGGTTATTTTCATCCAGGATAGTCGAGAGCTCCTTTCGACCCAGGTTGCGCAAAATGCACTTTTTACAGAAGGCGTTATGGCAAAAGTCACAGCAAATCAAATTTCCACCTTCAGCACACCACCTGAAACGAGACACGAGGAATGGAAGAGGTTTGTCTCCAGATCAACACAGTGGTAAACTCCTAAGCTGACATATTTAAAAATTCAGGTGATAAAACAGAAATCCATTAACGGAAACCATTTTTAAAAGCACATCTGAAAAACACTCAGCTGAGAATTGGAAAGTCAGAAAACTCATGTATTAGATTAAAAGTTCACAAGGCTGAAATGATCAGTCATTTTCAAACACAATTTCAGCACTGATTTTAAAGAAAAGAAAAAAACTAATTAAATTTTATTTTCCCTGTTTCTTCTGAAAATTTGGAGAGGGGAGAGAGTGGAGTGATTTATTTTACATCAGAATTAATTGGCTTAAGTCTCTCTAGCCTTAACTGATATATTACTACTGCAGGCACATATGACCTGAAAAGTGGTGGACAAGAAAGCTCATAAGCATCTCAGACTGCACAATTTTGACAGAATTACACATTTAGATATCTGACCTAAGGACAGAGAAATACTTCAGTATTTCAAAAGTGGGAAATGCATCTGCAGAAATAAGTTTCTGTGGCTCACAAGGTTTAGAATGCCAGATTCTATCCCCACCTTTAAAGTGTTTGTAAGGTTAAGTGGGCATTATGGGTCAATACCCAATTAATGGGCATGTTATTTAGTTAGAAATGTGACGTCTAAAAGTGTTTGCTGTTGAATTTATTTATAAAATGTTCTCCTATTCATTACTAAAATAACAATCAAATAGACAGGAAAACGCTGGGGTTGAGTATTTCTTGGTGAGAAATAATTGTTGATTAAGCTCTTAAGCTCTTATGTACTGGTTTTATTTCTTGCAATAATAACATGATTGCCAAACAAAGATCCCCAGGCCAGCAGGGCTGTGGGGGTGTGTGCAGTTCCTGGCCACTCACCTGCACTGTTCATCCATCCCATCGGAATCCCGGCTGATGTCATCGCTCATGTAATACTTGTAGCACGTCTGGAAAGAGACAGGACAAGGAATTCTTTATTAAATCCCAACAGGGCTTCAGAGATTCATTTGATTTCCAAAGCTTGCCAGTAATAGCAGCAGCTGCAAGGTCTTCGGCATTCTAAGCCTTTTACATTTGTGTTAATCTAAAAAAAAAAAAATCTACCATGGATAAAACAGGTCCTAAAACGTGACTTCTTATTTAGATGGCTCAAGGTTATTTGAAAATTAAACAGGCTTGTGTTTGATTGCTGTGTAACTGTGTATTTAGAACAGCAGCTGAATATTTCTCTTCAAATCTCTAAGTTTCTTCCCATCTATTTCCTAGGTAAATCAATACCACATCCTCCCCAGCACAATTAATCCTACATAAATTACAGTTTTCAGCTGTATGCTCCTTATGTTAGCATTTGATGCCATAAAGCTTTACATGAAAAGGGTCTTCAGCATTTATCCTGATGTTAACACCCAAGTACTCAATTTCCAGGTACAAACTAAGTATCTCTATTGAAAGTTTGGTAATGGAAAGAAAAAAAACTCAGCTAGAAGTAGCAAAGGCTTCAGTCTCTGAACTCTTTACACCAAATTTGGAAGGTGTGATGTTATTTTTTTCCCAGTTGCTAGTGAAAAAGGTTCTCCCAAACTTGCAGTTCTACTTTGAACAGGCATTAATACAAACTATTACCTACATTCTGTCCTTTTACCCAGCAGATCAGTGAATTCAGAATCCAGAAGAGGATTCAGCACATGAATTTAACATGATGATGCCCCTTTACATGGAATAGATTTATATATCTGTTCAACTAAACTATCCAAACAACCAAAAACCAACAAAAACCCCCAGTAAAGTCTGATTTTTAGACATTTGATGGAACATTCATAGTTGAAGGAAAACAGCTTCTCAGGTCTGGAATTGTTGACCTAAGCAGGAGAAAAATAAGGGCAGAACTAGGCACAGAAAGCAATGGAAGACCTGGAGTATGGAGATCAGGGACTTCCACTCCTCGCTCCCACATTAACTTAAGGCCATGTTCCACTAATTAGATACAGAAAATTTAAAGGAAAAAGTCCTGGATGCAATTCATGTAGCAGAATCCCCAGTCAAGAGCTGCTGTTGAACCCAACACCCTAAAGAAGTTACAAAAGTGACCCAGGTCTCTTGTGCATGGCAGGAACACAGACAGCTACAGCCACCTGCTGAGGATTTTCAAACCCAGAATAAGAGCTGGGACTCCAGAGGAGATGGAAGACAGTCATTGTGTGAGCTGATTATTGTAAAGCATATTTGATAAAAGAAACAAGGCAGACACATAGAAGAGGCAGAACATCAGACTCCATGGGCACGCCTGAGACTGTCAGCTGAACATGGACCATTAGTCAGGAACTGGGGAGAAGCAGGAGGAGGGAAGGGAAGGGGAATGCTACATGTGCATTGTAACAGAGCTGGATCTCTCCATCTTCAGCAACACCTTTACAAATACAGAATCTATAGAGACATGCAAGAGATATCTCTGTATCTCTGAAAATTAACAGAGGACTCCACAGCAGGGGCAGGGATGTTTCCTTCCTGCCCTGTTGCCCCTCTCTTCCCATTGCAGGCAACTCAGGGCCTCTCTGAAGCCACCAGGAAAGCAGGCAGCTGAAGACCCAGATCTGGATTTAGGTTAGCTTTAGATCATCATTTCAAAGCTGCTGTAAATTAAAACAGTCCAGGAGCTGCAGAAATCAAGATGGCTCTGAAGTTACTTTTCTGCTCCTTATCCCAATGTTGTTTTACACAGAACACTTTATCAGGAGATCCAGACTTGAATCTGCTCTTACAATACATTATGAGTAGGCAGAAACTTCAGACAGATCATTTAACATTAAAAATTCACTAATATTACAGCCTTAAAGCTATAAAACTAAATTCCAAATAAACCACAATGAGTTTAACTGAGGTATAAGAAAACAGGAATATAAATTTGTAAGTATATTTGCTTTCCCCCCTCGCTTTTAATTTCCTTAATTGTAACAGCTAATGACTAAAAAAAAAATAACTACTCCCACAAAAATCCCATCCAAATCAACTAATATGACATTTCAAACAAAAACAAACAGTAGAACTGTTTACCACATACCTTACAAATAAGAACTTTCAGTGTAGGATGTCTGTAGATTGAATCCTTTTGAAAATGGTTCACCTGTTGCCCACAAGCTGTACAGCTTACAATTCCATGTAGTCCTTCCTCTATAGAGAGGATTATAAACCACACATTAATTGTTTTCTTTTTTTTTTTTTAAGAAATCTATATATACCTATTTAATTTTCTTACAATATTTCGGCCTGTCAGGTTTAAGGCCTTTATTTCTTTACCACCCAGCACTAGAGAAATCTTTCTGTAACCACCTGCCATTTAAAGACTGAAAGAATTTCCCTCTAATTTCTATGCTCCACTTGGGGTGAAGATACAATTCTTTTCCTTTGAGAGATTCAATTTGGGCTAACTGGTCACCTCATGAGAACACACCTAAATAAGAGTCATCAAAAAAACTCTTTCCAGAGCAGCCCTGATATTCTGGACAATGTTCCCAATTTAATCTTTGTTTAACAAACGCCATTTTAATTCATGTTTCTATTATATTTTCTTTCACACACAGTTTAGTTTCTCAAAGAAGAATACAGAAAACTATTACAGAAGACGCACAAAATCCTTTTAGTAGTGCCTGAAAAATCTTTTCTCACCTTTTGTTCCCTTCTTGATGGCGGTTTTTGCTGTTTGGGTTTTTCTGAAACTACAATTTTGCTATAACACACATGTACTCCCCATCTTGCTGATTGCTCTCAGTTTGTGGACCACCCTGCTGCTGTACCTATATTTGGTCAAGAAAACATTTCTTTACTGCCACCCCCCAAATTCACTTTGGAAGGGGTGAACGTGGGCTTGGCAGGTTCACTCCACGCCAGGCTGTTAAACCCACTAGTTAATACTGTGAGACCTTTCTGTTTGCTACAGCAGAAAAAGGAAAATCATTTGTGAAAGCTCATACACTTTCAAAATTCTAATCTGGGATCGAGCAGATAGAGGTTTGATATGGGATCACTCAACTGTGACCTGTCCTTTGCTGCCATGTTCAGTGAGTGGAACAAGGAAATTAACTCCAATGGTTTAACTCAATGGTTACAATCTGAGGACAGACTCCATATTTTTTTCTAGTTTTCAAATAATCACTGCCACAGAAGCACCAACACCACAATGTTAAGGAAATGAATGAACATTCTCAAGACACAGTACAAGCTACCAGCAACCTGCTGCTGAAGCACCATCTCAGGTGGCTCACGGGCCAGTGAGAACAGCTGAGGCACCCTCACAACTCAGGGAAATTCTGAATACATGCTCTTTCCAACCCCCAGGCATGCATGACTGCATGACTGCATGACTGGGCACTCCCAAAGCCCTCTCACCACCTCAAAACCAGCTCAAACACTGGTTTCAGACACTGCTGGTGACCTTGAATAAAGGCATCCCTCGTATCGCGCTCCTCGGAAAGCAATCCCATGTTCCACAGCACAGAACCCAACCCAGGTCTGTCACACACCAGCTCAGGGACAACATGCCATTCCCTGCCAAATCCTGAGCCACTTCCCTCTTTTCTACAACTAAGGGGAAGCACTACGGCCTCCTTCCTAAAATCTGCAAGTTGGCACCAGAAAGAGAGAATTTACGAGGTAAACCTTTGTAAGCCATGTTACTACTACAAATGATGATGATCCAAAAGAAATTCAACTACTACTAATTCATTAATACTGAGAAAATACTTACTTAAAAACATTCATACCAGAGTTTAGTAGCAAAAATACAACCATAACCATTCTGCAGACACAGCACTTGAAAATAATGACACAATGCCTCTCAACAGTCTCAGATGAGAGCACCTGGTTGCTAGAAAGGCAAGACCTCTATTACTACCACTATTTCTAATATAAACAGGACATATAATTCCTAATAAAAGTGCAAAGATGTACTCCACAGTGAACAAGACGGACTGGCATTTCTTATTTTACTGTTATTATTTACCTGCACTGTGCAGACAATTCAGGATCTCAGGGACTACACATTCACCTGCTCTCTACGTGCTCAGGACACTTCAGAAGACAAAGCTCAGTGCCACTTCATGCAAAAAGCTGACAAAGTTTGACAAAAACAAACTGGTTTGATATATTCCCTAATCCTGCTCTTGAGGTTGATTGGAGTCACATCCCTCACCTGGCCACCTTTCCTGGTCTGGAAATGGGGTCAACACAAGGAGCAGGCAGTACCTGTTCCATTTCCCTGGAAGCTGACTGGAGTTTAACACACATCCTGGAGAGCTCTAAAACCAAATACTATCAGCAGAGACATTAACAGAGCTGAGCTCGCCCTGGATAAAGGTAAGGCTTAAACTCTTCATGTCCCTTCCAAAATTATTACCCCATGTCAGGCACAGTACATGAGTAACCAGTCCAGATACTCAAAGGAAGGCCTGTAAATTCCCTGGGGATAGAGAAAAAAAGCTGGAAGGGCAGGTCATACAAACTGTCCTGGGGATGCAGACACAGGCCACAAAGCTCAAGCAGAAGAGTCCTACCTTCTCAACACTGCACCCTTCAAGAGTCCTGTTGGACCATTTGCAAATGTTACAAGCACAAATGGGAAAAGCATTCCTAAATGCTGCACAGGACATCTTGCATGAATAAACAGAACCAACTTCCAAAGATTAAGAAAGGGATTATTCAGAGAAAACATCAACGCTCAAAATGTGATTAACATCATGCATGAGCCCATGTGTATGCACAAGCACATTTCCACACAGTCACATTTTACTCCCCTTCCACCACAAATGGAGAAATACCACTTAATAAATTACAGTAACACTCTAAAAGAGAGCAAGTATCTCAAATGATATAATGGGAAGAATGAAGAGTGTGTACAAGATCTGTTTGCATGAATACCCTAGGTACTGCTGTAGGTATGTGAACTAAGATATTGTCAGTAGTGTTAATAAAAATATCTGCCTTCTTATTGGCTACTTTATAAATAATCCTCCCTCTCCTTTAATTTTTGGAATGAAACACGAGAAATTAATTTCTGTTACTGCTATAATCTACCTAACTTCTCAATTTTAGCAGTAGCTATGGAAAAGCAGCTGACACAGCACTTTTCCAAGGATAATCCTTAGAAGGGCTCACTGGTAGGGAATTTCCCACAATTTAAAAACAAAACAGAAGTCTTTGCATTGTTTGAGGGTTTTGGATTTTTCTCAGCTCACTGATGGATAATCTGCCCATACATGTCCCACGTGGTTGCTTTCTTGGTAAGTGAGCATTCCTGTATCAACGCTGTTACAACGTAATTCCTTAAAAAAGGAATACCTGTAACACCTGATTGCAACCAAGCAACTGTGCTTAATGATGCATCCTATACCTACAGAAAATAAGGAGTTTAATGGGAACTAATCTTAGCTTTCACTGCTGCATTGCAGGGGCAGCAATGGAGGCTAATTTCTGTCAGTCAGCATCCTTAATGAACAAAAAGCCAGAAGAGTGGAGGTATTTTTAGGATAATTTATCAGAAATATGAACAATTTTTAGATGTACCAAATGTGGTCGTAAGCAACAATTTAAACCCGTTTTAATAGATGTTTTAAGTTGTATTTACCTCCACGCTTTTTGGGAGCTTCAGGTTTCATTTTAACGGTATTCCTGCTTCTAAATTCAGGCCCTTTAAAATCATCTTTGTCTTCATTCAGCACTGGCTCAGGCTGTACAACCACTGTACCTAGAATAATTTTATTTAGAAATTGGAAACCATTACACATCCAAATGAAGTGCAAAAGTGCAATCTGTTGACTAAAACTCAACAAAGTTTTGAATGCACAGATGTTCACAGAAAAAAAAAACAAAAAACAAAACAACCAAAAACAAACCACCACACACTTCAAAGTACATCTGTGTTGCAGCTGTAGGACAAAAGCCAAAGACTGGATGGGTTGAGGAGCAAATTGTGCTCCCTCTGCCCTGATGTGGCACGTGCAGGACAGGACTGTCACACTGCTGGGGGTGTGCACAGGGATTTGCAGTGCAATGCTAAAAGTAAAGGACTTGGGTTACATCATTCAAACCCCTCAAAACCCCTACAGTAACTATGCATTTTTCTCTTTGTACCCTTCTATCCAGTTTCCCTTGCCTGCATTTATTTCAGCATGAAATAAATGAAAAAGCAATACAATAAAAACTGCTTTGTCTTTAACAAAATTCAGAAATTCACATTTTCATTTCAATGAAGAGTATTAGTCAAAATTGTGTGAATGAACAAACACATCTTTCCTACTTTAGAGCCCAGTTTTTATACTTTTGTTGTGAGGACACTGAAAATCATCTCATACTCTGAAAAAATTCATTTTAAAGTGACTGCTCTAAAAACTGCTGCTCATGCAGTAAACAGCAGCAATTTTCCCTGTAACTTCCCTAGGTGAGAAATGGAGGAGATAATCAAACTCACACTGTAGTTAAGAGCAGAGGGATGTAAAGCTTACAGAATTAACTGTTCCTAAAAGGTGCTTAAAAATACATCAAATAATAACATTTCCTTCCCAGAGTTAGTTTTGCTTTTGTTGATCTAATTGCTAATAAATAACCTCAGAGAGAACTGTAGAATAAGACCACCAGGTGCCAGAGCTTGAGACTTGTACAAAAGAAGGGCAGCAGTTCTTTCCCTGTGTGTGATGGTTTTGGACAGAAGGCTGCAGGCACTTGCCATTAAGCCCCCAGCACATCCTGGACTGAGTTGGGCCATGTGCCAAGGCCAAGGTGCTTGGGCTCCTCTTGGCTCACACCCCTGTGTGTGTGCAGGCCAACAGCACCTCACACAGCCACTTATACATGTGCATTCCAGTTCATCAGCTGTGCTGCCTCATCAGCTTGGCTAATTTCCTGAATTCAGACATGAATTAATGTCACCCAGCTCTGGGCTGCTCTGCCATAAATCACCTCTCACTCTCTGCTGGCAGCAGGGACGAATTTGAGGGGGGTCCTCAATGGAAAACCGGGCTGAGGATCACTTTTAACACCTCTCTGCCCCTCGGGAAGGTGATGGGGTCCTGGCTCTCCTGCCACTGTGTTTATTGGTCTGGCATGGGCTGGATTTTGAGGGGGTTCTCTGGGCTGAGAATCACTTTTATCACCTCTCTGCCCAGTGGGAAGGTGATGAGGGTCCAGCAGGGCTTGTCTTACTGCAAATTTTGGGCCCCAGCTGTATCCTCGTGTCCCATGTCCCTGCACCCAACCTGCATCCCAATTCAGACATGAAAAAAGACATGACCTACCTTTAGGCAAGCTTTGCATATCTACATCGTTTTCTGAGTTCTCATTGGAAACATCTTCATTTACAGTTTCATCTACAATTTGTTCGTCATCTGACCCAACATATTTTGTTACAACTGTAGGTTTCCTGCATAGACAGAAAAAAACATGCTCTGACAAACAGTACATACTGCAATTCAGGTAAGCCTGGAGCTTTGCAAACATGATATTAACTGGGGAAAACTATGTTTTCTAAATTAATTTAAGACTTTATGAGGTGGGATACTCCAAGTTATTACTATACATAAATTGTAGGTTAATTTTGTTGTTAGGAACAGGAATTCTCCCCTCTATGTGAAATAAAAATATATACTAATAAAATATTTTGTTTCACAGGGTTGCTGTATTTTTCTGTAAAATCAAGGTTTGATGTGTTTTCAAGGAAGTCACACTTCTATGAAAAAAACCCTAAATGAAACACAAGTGAATGTCTGCTCAGAAATTTTATCCATCATTCCAGGTTTAACAGGCAGCACAAAGAGAGCACACAGATATTAACAAATTACAAGAAGTAGCTTGGCTGAAGAGATGTTTGCAAGGAAATAAATGAAATGTGGAGAGAAATGAAAAAGCTGACTGTTGAATAAAAGGAACAGCTGCCAGAATTCCACACAAACATAATTTCTAACTAAATCCACAAAAATTAATTAATTTACTATGTCAGGACAGGGAGAAGAAAATACTGAATATGGAGCATAATTTTCAGTAGCCTGAAGGCAATACACGAACTACTGCAGGATACTGGTTTTGTATCAGGAACAGTATGTTACATGTATAAGTGAAAACACATTTAGTGATAAGACAGGATGCAAAAAAACCAGGACTAAAACTAATATAAATGAGAAAGACTTCAGCAGGACACTCACTGTATTCAGAAGATGAGGGAGAAATCAAAGCCAAATATAAAACCACACTTGCAAATATGGCATCAAGACAAACAAAAAGAAGACTGAAGAACATTAATGCCAGCAGACATGACAGAATAAACCAACTTGGATACAAAGGACAGTGAAAAGAGATACAGACTTTTAAAGAGCAACACTAAGGCAGCTGTTGAAACTGTGCATGAAAAATCATGAATGACAGAACTTGAACGAGCATCAGCCGAGAGCAGATGAGGAGCTGGACTAGAGCAGGTCTGCTGGTACTTGGGACACAACCAACCTGCCTCCTGCAGGTTCAGAGGGATGGCAAACAGTTAACTCCAGACTTTGTACATCAAAGAGGGTAAAAGGATTAAGCAGGGATACAGCAAATGGCAGATCCTGCACAGGACAGCTCAGCAGCACAGTTTGATGCTACAGCCTCCCAGCAGTAAGGTACATAAAGCCCTTTTTTCCATACAACCCAATTTACATTTTTGGAAGAATCCTACATGTAGAAATAGCCAGAGTGAAGGAACTCTTGTATAAACTCCTTTGCCCTGAAGATATGGGATAATCTTGTCTTTGTTTATAAAAATCAGGCTTTATGATCTTTACCTTTGACCCTGAGAAATGGTTTGAATTTAAAGTGTATTATGAGGCATTTGTTTTACCAGCACTCTGCTAACTTTATGGATTTACACTGGTGTATACCAAAAATATTTGGCATAGTGCATCAACTTTTCTATAGTTTCACATACCAAAAAGTAATTTATTTGTTTTTATCTTCCAAACCAACCTTTTGGAACGGGATAATCCTAAGGATTTGGTTCTTTCTGAAGAACTACTGCCCTAAAAACAAGAAAAACATGTAAAGGTCAACACATTTGTATCCAAGGGACCTGTCAACAAAACCAGTTTCTTGCTTTAACTAGAACACATCTCAGAAGTTACCAATGCTCTTATTAAAAAAAAAAAAGTTAAAAAAAGCAGCAGGAAAAGCATTAACAAGTGACACACGATTTCAACAGTCAATTTTAACAGTTCAGTTAAACCAAATCTGTGGAGTTTCAGATCAGAAGGAAGCAGCTTCCTGTGGATGCACCTGTGGATGAAGAAACCATGGCCTTTTCCAACCCTTTTTCCAGCCCTCCCAGGGGGTTGTGCAAGGCTGGCCCTGGGGACTGTGCCCAGGAACTGCCAGCACAACACTGACACTTGTTACCTGGCTCATGTGCCACAAAGCACTGGCTGCCTTCACAGGAAAACTGATTTTTCAGAGGTTTTTGCACTCGTATCATAACCAGATCTGGGCAGTTTAAAATACCTGAATTTACAGCAGCAAAGGCAAACTAAGGCAGGACTCTGGCACTTGTGTTCTCTACATATTAAGGTGTTGTCAAGCAGAATGTTTCCAGCAGAAGAATAGTTAGTAGTAACACATACCACATGAAAAATTTCTTTAATGTGTTCATATGTAATATAGATCCTGTATGCCCATATTTCTTTCTCTTTTAAAAAGGAAGCATATTTGCCTCAAAGGACAACTAAGTACCTACTGTTATCTGAGTATCACAGTGTAAGTGTAAATAGAGACCAATTCCTTTAAACCAAAAATAGTAAGAGCCTGGTAACCTACAATCCAAAGAACAGAATAAGGATAAAAGAATATTAACCAAATTTCTTTATAAAGAAAAGCTCACTTTGTAATATACTCAGTATGAATCAATTAACAGCACTTATTTCTTAACAAAAATGCAACTGCACACCTCAGGCAAGCAAAGCCTGAGTTACAGACTGTTAGAGACATTGTTCTCAGGAATTACTGTGCACCAGAAAGACAATGAAGTTGCCCAAGTAAATTCATGTATTTCAGTAATTTAGAAATAAAAGGGGATAAGGACAGAAACAATTGTTTGCACGTGCCTAAATCAAAGTGAGTTTAATTCAAAATATAAAATTTATTTTACATTTATTTTTATATATTTTACAGCTAATGTTTCTATTCAACAGACATGATGACATTTACTGGGTGGTTCTGAGACAGGATTATTTAAGTATTTATTGTAAAAGCAACATAGTGAACTCAGCCATTCTGCACTAGACATGCAACTAGAATTCAAAAGTGCTTTTATTCCTACCTCATCTCTGTTGTTCTCCATTGAAGCTGGACTTCCTTTAGGTTCTCTGCTTTTACCTATGGAGAGAAATTAAAGGAATCCACTGAACTGCAAGAAACATTAGAAGTTCTTCACATTGCACATCACATAGTTTATGTTTCACCAGCCTGAATAAAGATGACTGTGGGACTTTCAGAGACAAACTGTTGCACAATGAAACACAGTCCACTATATGGCATAAATTCTACAGAAATAATCTAGGAATCCCTTTCAGTTCAGTCCCAGACAGGCTGAGGAACAGCCTTCCTGTTGGTGCAGAAATCCTGAAGCAATGGAAATAACACATTAGTGCATTTTTGTTAACCTCTAAGCAGTTACTTCACATTTTTTCTCTTACACATCTTGACATTAGAAATAAAGTATTAAATCTGGGATCATGAAACCACAGACAAAAACCCCATTTGATACAGGATATGACTGAATTCCCATTTCTCTGTCTCGGGAACTGTGGAATATAAAGCCTAAAGACCTCTAACCTATTAGCACCTGTTCCCATCCACCAGCCCTGGCAATGGAAGGGAATGTTTCAAGTTCAGTGATTCAATGATACTTGGAAGAAGATGCTCCAAAGGCTCAGGAACAGCAGGATTTTAACAGATGCACTACAGAGAAGGAAATATAATTACAGTCCTGGATTATCCTGTAAATCAGGATTATTTGTGATTTTAGCATAAGACTACTAGCACTGCAACTTAAACTTCAGTTTTGGGAAAAGCAAACAATTTTCTTCTATACTTTAAAATAATCAAATCACTTTGATTAGAGAATTCAGTGCTGGCTATTTGACCTGGGCTGAACTGTTTCAGTAAATTGCAGCAAAAATTATCCAGTCATTTCTGCATGTGAAGGAGGGAATAAAAAAATGGAAGCAGATGTTTTTGGCCCTTTTAAATACCCGAAATTTCTTCTCTAGGATATTACAGGTATTTCTGTATTCTGAGGAAAAAACCTGAGATTTGGAAGGAGAGTGACACTTCTTCTGGAGATCACATGCTGTCCACCTTCTACTCTTGACCAATTTGGCCAAGTGATAAATCCATGGAAAAGACCAGTTTGTACATCTTGGCAGAGCTTTCTTTGCTCTGGCAGCTCCAATCCCTGCAGACTCTGCACTTGGACCTGGTACTCACATGGTATTCCAAAGGCAGCTGGATGTGCTCCCTATGCATTCCCACAGAACCAGGGAGTGACTGCACCACCCCCTCCCAGTGCTGACCCCCTGCTCCTGCTCCCTGCTTTCCAGGGTTCCAGCAGGGCCCTGCTCCAGGGACTGCCCCTGGCACCTTGCAGGGCACAGCAGGGACACATCCAGTGCCAGTGCAGAGGGGAGACTGAAACATCAGTAAGGCTGAAAAATCAAGTACTGCTTCCTATTTTAATTGACCTCTGTGTGTGGCAGGGACATGTTCCAACTCTCCTAAGCCATACTTAACCTTCACCATCATCTCCCTCCTCACAACACGGTACCCAATGATTCACAGATCTCCCACATGCTGGAACAACCCAAGATCCACTACTACATAAACCTGATTTGGCCCCAATCACATCCATAACTTGAGCTTGTAAGGAGCACCCTGTATATTACAAAAAAAGCAAGCACAGTTGCTAAAGACAGTGTCATCATCCACAGAACACTGGGAGGGGAAGGAAATTTGCACAGTTAATTCTGACATTTCCTAATATTTAAGTGTTTAATCTTGACTTTTCTACTTCAATATGTTCTTTTAGATCTCAAAACCAACACTGAAACAGGCCTGCTATGAATTTGCAAGTGTACCCATTTCAAAGACAATCTGTATTTTACAGCAAGGAACCAAATTCTACCGTTTAACTACACAGGATAAAGGAAAAGATTTCTTTTTCCCAGTGTGCTCCTCAGCAAAATTTCACTTTGAGATGTGTCTACACCACAGTTTATTTTACTATTCTGCTGAGGTATCACAGGAGTAATTTCTTTTTCCTATGTTAGCAGTTCAGTTTGATGCTGGTGAGCGCCACAGGCAGCAGACTCTCTCAAAACAAATCATTAAAAGACAAAAACAGCATGCTAGAAAACCCATGGAAGATATTACTTAGGACAACAGGAGTTTGAAAATACACTCCATAACACAGCCAGCACACTCTCATTCTCCTGGACTCCATCACTTCAGCACAACCTTTAGCTCATTAAACACTAGAGACTAAAAGGTTTTGCACCTGTATGCAGTCCAAGTTAAACTAAGAAACAGTTTAACCAGTTAAATTTGGAAACAGATTTTATTCAGTACTGATATTAAATGATTTCACTTTTAATCACTGTAATGAAAACAGTGTTTAAAATTCGTTACCTATTTCTAACTTGTACGTAAAAATTCTAATAACCAATTCTGACCTAGTGTAGGACTCAAGGTTTTTCAGAAATCTTATTTCCTTTTCAAATGTTTCCAGATTATATGTAGAAATCTTTTTCAAATAACTATGAAAGCATAACCTCCAGAACTTCTTCCACAACTACAAGGACTGCAAAAGCTTTACTTCAGCAGAAGAACCAAGACACTGTATTTATAAATTCAGGAACGCTGAACAAGGAATTTCTAGCACAGCAAATACCTGTGTGTTTGCCATCTCGTGTTTCACAGAAGGTAAATCTAACCAGAAGGCTCGATTTTTTTTTTCCACATTTAGAAAGATTCAGAACTGAAATAAATATTGCATCAAAGGTCTATTGTGTATTTATTAAGATATCACCACATAAATCACATTAGGACTTTGTATAATTGCCCCAGTGAAGTGTGATAAATTGAAATAACAACAGCAAGTTAGTTGACTTTAGAGTCATATATACACTGAAAGTAAAAAAAACCATAAGATGTGGTTTTACCTATGCTTTTGTTTTTAGATACTGCTGGAGGAGAGTTTGCGTCCTCAGACTCTTCTGACGAGTGAGCCAAGAAGTCATGTAGTTTCTGTACCAATGTGTTCAACTTGCTTTCACTGTTAAAATACAAGTAATACTTCAAATTACTTACACATCTCACTCTAATTTACCAAGCTTGAAAGAAATTATGTTTCATCTCAATTAATACACACCTACAAGAGATTTAAACATTTGTTTCTGCAAAAGTATAACAAAGTAAATAAAACACATACAATTTTTTTAAAACGTGAGCAAAGTGGTAGGTGCACCCTTATTGACAAAAAAGCACTAAGGACTTTGTCAATAATAACAAGTCTTTTTTAAGTCATTTTTACTGTTTACAATTACTGACAGAACTCAAGAAAATTGGAGTGGTAATGCTGCTATGCCACGAAGACAGCGAAAAATTAATTTAAGATTCTACTTTGTCAGAGACCAGACAGGTAAAAACAATAAAATCTTGATTTTATTACCAAAAATGTAACCTTTGGGGATATAAAACACTAGAACTGACAGCAGTTTCACCTACAACCTTCAAAAAAACCGGGTGTGTTGAGTGTGGCAGATGAACAGGCTCGTGCCAAACTTTTCTTAAAAACCAACCATCTCCATAAACCTGCTGCATCACGTGTTCATTTTGTCAAAAAACAACCGTCCAGGACCAGAGCACTCCTTCATCTGTTTGGATGAGAACTTGCAACCCATTTATAGACAACAATGGGAAGCTTCCCTTGGCATTCCCAGAGCCCAGGAGTTGCCAGAGATATCTTGCTAAGGATGTGCTCGTGTGATTATTTCTTTACTACATGTGGAAAGAGTAAACTTACTTTACTTCAATATTACTCTTTTCTCCCACCTCTTCCCTCCTTTCCCCAAAAGAAACAAATAGCTGATATTAACAAAGCCTTATACTTCCCCTAAAGGAACCCAAGAAGTAGAGAATTTAAAAAAAAAAAAAAAAGGCTACGAGCTTTCCTGCAGGAGCTGCAGGGCCTCAGAACCCCCGTGCTGCTCCCTCGCACTGGGTGTGCTTTGTTTCACACCTGCTCCTCCCAGAGCTTCCCCAATTCCCTGAGACAAGACTTTTCCAGCTGCAGGTGCTGTGCTGAGGCCAAGGGCTTTGGGACCCCCACGGAGAAGTTCCCACTCGGCTTTTTGCCCACTCCCAGTGCTGTGGAATGTGCCAGCCTGGCTGACTCATCCTGCCTTATCAGCTGCTCCAAGTGCTGCCCTGCCCTGCCCCCTGCAGAACGGAGCCCATTCATGTCAACACAGTCTTCTAAGAGCAGCAAGAAATAACATTTTCTGTCCCTGTTTTACAGGTCATAGAAACTCGTATTTAGCAGGAGCTCAACCCACTCACCTTTACCATCTCTACTGTTTCTCTGAACACATCAATTTATTAGCTTATTTCAATTTTAACTGTTATTGCTAAAAAAATCTCGTTTTATAAGAAGGTGAACAATGAGTGAAAGGGTATCATCACGTCAATGCAAATGACTATATTAACCAATGAAAAGAACCACACATAAAACAGCATAAAACATCCATTAAAAAAAAAACCACTCAATTTCTTTAAATCTTCTGAAGTACTCAAAATAAAACAAAACAGCACCTTGTAATACAAAGATCCTCTGCATGAGCGAAGGGCACTCTTCTTTCAAGACTACAGATGTGCCATCAATCACTCAAGTGACTTTGAAAGAGTGTAACAAAGCTGTTTAACTCTCAAGTGTATCTTAAAATTTTCCTCTCAATCTGTCCAAAAGTCTTTCCCTCTAATTACTGGACTCATGCTGCTACACAACTGCCAGTCCCTAAATTTGGGCTTCCCTTTTTCTCATGGATGGAGGGCATACTTGGAAAACATTATGGAAGATGATAATGATACACTGCAGTTTTAACAGCTTGCATGCTCTCCTTTAGAAAGGAGATTTAATGACAATTTACTCACATTAAGTTAAAAAAAAAAAACTAGGGCTGTTCAAAATTATTTGATAGTAAAAGCATATAAAGAGATTTTATATCCACTCCAGATGGTCTGAAGAAATAAAGCACATTTAGAAAGGCCAAAAGAAAGTACATTTTTGGTAGTAAAAACCAAAAAAAGGGGCCACATGTGGAATTCTGTTCATTTAGTTTATAAATAACTTCTTTTGGTAACAGCATTTCAGAAAGAAAATGGGAACTACAGATGAGTTTAGTATTATTGTTCTCAATACAAAACAAACTCAGTATAGTAGGCACGTGTCTTTGTGACTAACACTTGGAACATTATCTACTATCATTTATTAACTCTTACCCTAACTAGACTAAAAGTATCATTTTCAGAGCAAAATGTTCTTGCTGACAAACAACCAAAAAAGAAAATATATAAAGTAATACTAAAAAGTCTTCTTAGCTTGCTTTTCCTTTTGATTAATCATCATTTTGTACCATAAGGCTGTATTAAGGAATACCAGGTCAAACCTAAGAAAAGGTGTTACACTTACTATACTTTACTGGAGAGAAATGTTAATTTAGGGCAATGCTGTATGTGGTTTTGTACAAAAGTGATTTATATGTCACTTGAGAATAATAATCTATCTTTTTTAAAGCTTCTACTGCAAAATCCTTATTCTTTGCAATACAGACCCATTCACTATTAAATTGATCACAACCTATAAATGTGCATTTTTTAAAAAAACATAGAAACCTAAAAATGTAGAAGCATGTCAGAAGCACTACTGAGGCAAGCAGGCTCCTCCACATGGAACAACTCACTACTGTTCTCAGGCTTGTGTGCACTAAGCAAATGGCTTCACCATCAGTCCAGAGCTATTTCAACACTGTTCAGCCTAATTAAAACAGGAATGAAAGGGAAGGTGCCCTGCTATTATTGGCTTGGCCATGAACCTGATTTGTGACCTTGGGAAAGGATCTTGTAAGAATACCATTTCTTACCCACATTCCGACCAAGCGCTGTAAAATCCAACAATAAATGCCTGGCCTTTAACAGGATAACAAAAAGGTCCACAGTAGGCAAATCACCTCTAAGGCTAAATGAGTCAACAAATATTTAGAATAAATAACTAGACAGGTGGTTTTCTAACCTAGACACAACATAATTCACTCAATCTGGCTGTGACCACTGTCCCCTTGTATGTTCTTACCTGTACTGGGTTTGCGTGGCAACATTTTGGTGGGGGGGGACTACAGGGTGACAAACTTCTGTGAGAAGGCGCCAGAAGCTTCCCCCATGTCCAAGAGAGCCAATGCCAGAGGGCTCCATGATGGACCCAGTGCTGGCCAAGGCTGAGCTCACCAGCAACGCTGGTAGTGCCTCTGGGATAACGTATTTAGGAAGGGGGAAAAAAACCTGCTGCACAACAGCAGCTGGGACAGAGGAGTGTGAGAGCAGCAGCCCTGCAGACACCCAGACCAGGGAAGAAGCTGCAGGCACTGGAGCAGAGATGCCCCTGCAGCCCCTGGGGGTCCATGGAGCAGCAGAGACTCCCCTGCAGCCCGGGGAGGACCCCACAGCAGAGGTTGGGACCCCGCAGGGAGCTCGTGCTGGAGCAGACTGCTCCTGAACCCCACGGGAAAGGCCCCACGCTGCAGCAGTCCAGGAAGAACTGCAGCCCACGGGAAGAACCCACACAGGAGAGGTTCATGAGGACTGTCTCCCATGGGATGGGCACCACGCTGGAGCAGGGGAGGAGTGTGAGGAGGAAGGAGCGACAGAGACAAGGTGTGATGAAGGGACCACCTTGCCCGTCCCCCTGCACTGCTCAGGGAGAGGAGGCAGAGAATCAGGAGTGAAGTTGAACCTGGGAGGAAGGGAGGGGTGGGGGAAGGTGTTTTAACATTGGGGGTTTATTTCTCATTAGCCTACCCTGATTTGATTGGTAATAAATTCAGCTGATTTCCCCACGTGGGGTCTGTTCTGCCTGTGATGGTAATTGCTGAGTGGTCTCCTCATCCTTATTTCAAAATGAGCTTTTCATAGTATTTCCTCTCCCCTGCCCAGCAGAGGAGGGGCAGTGTTGGAGTGGCTTTGGTGGGCACCGTGTCCAGCCAGGGTCAGCCCAGCACATCACCTGTGTTAGCTGTTGATCCTGCCTCCCCAAAGTGAGTCACATCACCTTGGACAAATAACATTTTAAGGAACAGTTTTCATTTGGATCCAACTTGCCACATGGTCATTCCCTGTGAAGGCAGCTCAGGTGATGAAAATTCATGGCCAGGAAGGAACAGGATTGGCCATTTTAGCAGCAAACCCGGTCCCATTGGATTATACTGTGAAACTGCACTAAAAACCTGGTTATTGCAATCAGTGTCTATCTACTTTCTTCAAAAATGTAGGTGGAGAATGTCAGTTACTGTCAAACATCTGGAAGAACAGTTGGAAAACCATGTTTTCTTTAAACAAACAAATTTGTCCTTCTTCCATAGGATGGTACCAACTTTTAGTCTAAACAAGTGCCCCTCATCTGAATTTCAAGTGGCTCCTGGAACTCAGTGAGACAGGAGTGCTTTCCAGCTTTTATCCCAATGCTGACAAACAGGCTTCTCTTAAATACCTGCCTTCCTCACATTCAGTACTTGTCTAAAACTTTAGACTGTTTAAACTTTTAAAATAGTTCAAGGGCACAAGTTTTTTAAATTCATGTTAACGGTTACTTCAAGTGAAATCCCAGTCATTTTTCACTTTTGAAGTTGAAATGAAATACTGCAGAATAACTATTAAGCAGACAAAATTAAACAATCCTTAGGAAAAATAATTACAGAAAAATAAAACCAGATGTGCTTTTCAACTGCTAGTCTGTAGACTGCCATCCTCTGCTTCAGTCTGGATCCCTGTGTGAACAGCAGAAGTCCAATAACCCACAGCAAAAGTCTGACTAATTTAATTAAGATGCTGGAAAGACACAGTACCTGTGCCTTCATATAATCAGGCCAGCATTGTGACACCTGAAAATCTTCATAGATTTTTTCCTGATGAGAAGGAAAGGGATTAGACTTACTCCATTCAAAGATTTTAGTTATGAGGGCAGAGCCTATATAGTACAGTTGTTTCATACAAAACGTCAATATT